GTATGCTATACGAAGTTATTACGACCCTCATCCATCCTCCCTCTCTTTTTCTCTCTCTCTCTCTCTCGATCTCTTCTCTCTCTCTCTCTCTCTCTCTCTCTCTCTCTCTCTCTCTCTCTCTCTCTCTCTCCCTCCTCTCTCTCCTTTCTTTCCCCCCTCTTTTCGCGTCCTTTTCTATTTCTCGCGAGAAACTCCCGAGGTAAAGTAAAGCAATGGTACAGCGGAAGGAGGAAGAGTGCCAAGTTGTAGGTTGGCAGGGTCGTTTAAATGTTTAGATTCGCGGTGTGAAAGTCCCTCTTTTACCCTACGCGGAAAACTTCTTATCATGCGGAAGCTCGCGTTCGCGCATTCGGAATGCGAGTGGGTTTTCGCCGTGGAAAAATATCGTCTTCCGTCGTGCCGTGGGATGCGAGTGGGGATTCAAGTGGTTTTAATTTCAACCACGGCAATTTTCATAGTTGCGAGAACGAGCGACGACATCTCTCGCCTCCGACGTAGAATAATTATTTCAGACGGTGGTCGACGAGACGTAAACGAGATTCGTTCTCACATATGTTACGCGCGCGCACATCAATTGTCTGAAATTGAGCTTCTCTCGCTACGATTGTATCGACTGGATTATCAAGAATACGTTGCTCCCGGATCTCACGCTGCACAAGTTGAATTATTCCGCGAAACAGCTGCAGTATCTCAAATGCAGCAGCAGTGAGATTTATTCATCACGATCGGTGGAAATAATTTTTATCATTTATTTAAAATCTTATATATGTTTGTGCACATCTATCGGTATTCCTGCAGATGTTTTTAAATGTTTGCGAGTGCATTAATTTCGGTGCTATAACAGACTCGCAAATATCTCCGTCAAAAAATATTAGCTTTGCATTCACTGCTTTTTGCATCAGACTCGCCCAGATTATGATGCTTTCGAACAATGGCGTGACGCGGCACATTGCTGCTTTTTCATCCTGAAAATAATCCTTCGCAAAAACTTGTGCGAGAACTCTCATATCCGCCCACGTATTTACATCGCTATAACAAATATGAAATAATCGCTTGCTACCTGCAGCCAAGAGAAAATCTTAAGGAAAGCCACACGCTCAATTCTTATCATATTGTACACTAATCCTAAGAGATTCTATACTGCGAAAGAAGTTTCGGAGCAATATGCACAGAATGAGTTTCCGTGAATTTCCGGAGCTCGCTCGCGTTGCCAGACATCGGCAAAATTTTTAATAAACATTTATCAATTTAAAGAAAACAGGAAAGAATCGATTCAAGTTTAAAAGTTATATTATTAGAAATATTTTACTCATTTAAAATGTACGAACGATAATGAACATATTGCCAATAATAGTTCAAAATACCACTTTCTAAAGTATATGTTAATTGTTACTAGTAAATTGTACTATCAAATTTGTATCGAAATACAATAATATACCTAATTAAACATTTTTCTCTTTACTCCAATTTCTGGAAACGTATTGCACCTGCTTCACGGTGTTTCTAAGCTTTCCCCGAGCTTTCGCGATTGCGAGCTTTCTGCAACAAGCGTGTACGTGCCGAAAACTCGAAGCGTCGTGTCGGCGACACGGAGCATCGTTTCGCGCGAAGTCTGCACGTTGCGCATAGTTTTGAAGCTGTGCACCGCTGTTCTTTCAGAATCGACCGAATCGGCAGCGCTGTGGCGCAAGAACGACCGAAGGGAATACGTGCAACGAGATGCCAGCTTCCGCACCGTTCGCACTGCATCCTGAGAGATACGTCACCCCGCGAGGACGACGACTACGTACATGGGAGCACTCGCCGGTTTTACACTTTCCCACTAAATCAGCCGTTAACGTCCCCACGGATGCACCGCGCTCACCGATCTACGATCGATAAGCGTCCGCGAAAAGCGACTCAATTCAACCGTCGCCGTTGTGATTCGTCCACCGAACGTCTCGCGGAAGAGCGAGAGAGAAAGATTCCGCGATGTGCGTGACGGGGAAGACATACGAGCAAGAAATGGATGGGAAAAGTACGTTCGAATCTTAGCCCGCTCTGCCCCGTAAATAGCGTTTTGTAACCCCCGTCACGTGAAATCGATATCCCTTAAGAGCTGGTCCGTGAGGTCGTTCGTCAGACCGGTGCTGCCTGTTTCACCCCCGTGGAAGTGGAAGAGAGAGTGCGCGCTAGTCTGCAGAGAGTCTGCGGGAGGAGGTGGACAAGCACAGGGTTTGCTGAATAAAAGAAGATGCACGGGAAAAGGCCAACGTTCCTCGCTGACATGGAACTGCTAATGTTCTTAGCAGTAACAGCCTCCTTGTTGGGTTACTGCCAAACGGACGAAAAAGGTAAGACACAGCGTCGCGACTCGCGACCTCTCTTTGTTTATTATTCCCCTCCTTTCCTCATTCTTCTCCCACGCGTCGTTTCACGTATCTTCCCGGGCTGCGAAAGCAGTGTTGAAAGGAATACGAATTTCGCTTTCGGCATCGCCACTCGGACGGGCGAGGACGGAGGACGAGGATTGTTAGAATAGCGACGTGCGCGAGAAAGAGCGGTGAAGATTAACTTTTATAGCCGCCGGCATGAGTAGTTCCCGCGAATTTACTTATAGCGGGAGCGGTTTAATGGTCGCTGCTCACACACATCACCGAACGCTTTTAATAGTACGCGAGACTATAGTACACTGCACCCGCTGCGTCCCTTCGCGCGCGTAAACATCCCCGCATGAACGATTATATCAGGAGAAACGCGCGCAAGAGTGAGTTTAGTCTCTTCAACCCCTAATCCGTGAGTAATCATGCGCTGTGTAACCGAAAGTCACCGTTCTATGGGTATAATAATAGAAGTTGAGTGGAAGGAAAATAGTAAGAAAAGTACTAAGAGGATTAATAAAAAACTCAAGCGCAGTTGTAATTTTATCGATAGTAACTGCAAATATTTATAACAATATAATAAAGTACAAAAAAAATATAAAACAATTCAATTCTTTTTAATTAAATTTTTTAATTAATTATTAGATCAAATATTGAAATTTTATTTATTTTTCAGTCATTGAAAAGAAATGCAGTTGTCATGTTTGACGTATTTGTTCATAATTTTATCGATAACGGCGCTTGTGTGTGAATTCTTTTTTTATTTTTATTTCTACTGATTGTGAGAAGAGATTTAAATTGATATTAAATTGTCTCCCTCGTTGTAACACATTCCGATATAATAAACATGAAACTTAACATTCTGGATATTTTATAGCTACTTTAGAATTAGCTCAACTGTGCTATTTCTGTGCTCTATTACTTCTAAGTTTCGAGCATACTATTAAATATTTGCATTATGTCCTTCGTTATACAGGCACGAGATATTTCGCGCGAGAAGTGAGCGGTTATATACGATTATATGCCGGGGACAAGAAAATATTATTTTGTAATTTTGTGAAATAAGTCATTAAAATTCCTTCAACATTATCTACGCGTGCTTCGAAAAACTTAATAAAGTATACAAACTGTACTTTTTAGAAGAAAAAAACATAATAGAGTGTAATAATAGTATAATGTGCAGCATATTGCATTTTATCGGCTGTAAAGTAGTTGGAATATAATTACAAAATCAAAATTAAAATTAAATTTTTTAACAATTCCCGATATAGCACGCGGCATGGTGAAACCGGGCAAACGGAAAGGACGGACGCGAGCGTTTTCAGAGTCACTAATTAAATTTGCCCAATTTGTAATAATCGAATGCGGAAATTACGTTGAAGTAATAACTTGATACTAAATCATCCACCGTTACAATACCGTATCGAAGGGCATTCGTGTTCGAATTACCGGTGTGTCTGTTATCGTTGTACAATACCTACTCGATGTATATACTCGGCTTGGCGTTTCGTCCGATTAAACCGGAAAATCGAAACATGTAATCCGTGCACCGTTGATTTTTACGGAGTCATCTTTTCCGGCGCTATACCTTACGAGATCGATCTGAATTTAACAAGCGGTCAGATCGCGATACTCGTGCACACAGTGCAAGTTCAAACAGAAAATTGTTAACCTGCTCTTCCCGAGTTTTACTAAAAAAAAAAGAGGTTCTGCCAAGCGCGTTCGTAACAATCGATATTTTCGTGTATTTTCGTATCAATAATATCTGTACACTCAACGTATCCACTCGCGTTAATACATATTGCAAATTCTCTTCCCAGAATTTTTGTCTACTGTCATTACTTATACAGGTGCAAAGTGATCGATTAAATTCATCATGACTCGTTATACTCGTGTACAATTAGATATAAAATTCCGGTTAAACAGTCGCTGCAAAATATAACGAACAAGTAATGTTTGCTGTAATAGACGAAGGATGTACATAGTCTAATGGCGTTCATTTTACATTATTCACGGCTGATCTGATATGAAATTATACATCCGAAACATATGTCAGAATTCTACCTGAGATAAAATGAGTTCGTGATACCTGCTGCTCTAATCAGTTTTCCGTTTGCCAAGTTAATCTGGCTGGCGCGTGTGAGACTGTCGCGTCGCATCGCGTTGCGTCGCGACGCGCGTGGCGTATCGTGCATTTGTTTTTACATGTTCCGGCAGTTCTGACTAGATACATATTTTCGCGAAAAACATGCGCATTGAAAGAGAAAGAGGGGAGAGCGAAAGAGAGGTAGAGAGAGAGAGAAAGAGAGAGAGAGAAATTCTCTACTGTTACGTGGCCGTATCGCATCGACCGCGTATTTTTTGCGTACCGGTCATGCGGTTTACATCCCACGAAGATACAAAACGTATGTATTATAATGCACTAAAATGTTTTTGCAACAATGAAAAAGAGCAATGTCTCCAAGCACAATGGCAAGTGCGTAATTAGCTCTAACAATATTGTGAAAGGTACGCCGAACGCTTGCGCTATCTGGAATCTTTTTCCAGCGGTTCAAAAAAATATTATTTTTTATTAAAGTTACGACGAACTCAGTCTGACGTCGCTTGTAATTTTTACTTCGTACAAAGTAGTTGTACATGTTTACAGTACGATATAAGTGAAGGCAATCGATCGATGTCGATCGCAATACTTTCATGTCACTTTGATGTTGTGACAGCTAATTGAGGTTGGTCGGAACAATCGCATAAATAGTTTATTTTTATTTTTGCGTGCAACTTGCGCGATATCCATTGAAAGAATCTCATCAGAGAGCGGGATATCCGGCAGTTTCCATGAAACCTTACGAGATCGTTTCCATTTGCCGGTCACATCGCGCTGCACACCGACTACTATCACCGCACTGTTAATGCACTGTATACTTTTTCACGAACGCCGTCGGCCAATTGCGCTTGCGAATGTAACCGCGGGAGAATCTCCATGGCTCGCAAAGAAAAATAGAATTACGAGAGCTGCAAAACGCGCTTAAAGTGCATAATACAGACCGATTCTACCACACGCATTTATTCCGCTTCATATCGGATGCAGGTCAGTCGATGTGTTGAGTGAAATTTGATGCAACCAGGATACACAATCAACGTAAAAACGCGGAAAATTTGATTTAATATGTACCAGTAAAATTACGGAAGATCAGCAATGTATATAGTTAGTTATAATTAACAATACGTTTGAATGCATTAGTCTACGTTCAACGAGAACAAGACCATTTGCTAAAAAATGCAACACACAGCTTTTCCTCTGGCTGGCTCGTCACAAATGTGCAAAGTAATATTTCATTGTAGCGCCAAAAATAAACTATTTGTAGAATAACTGCGTAATACGATTTACGTATGTATGTTCGTCAGCGTGGATTGTACACATATATACATCAGCGAGTTTCAATTTATTATTTAATTTTCTCCTATAAAGTAAATTCCTCTTTGTGTGACGTTAGTGTTACTGAAATTCGTCGAATACTGCTAACAGTTGTATTCGCATGATTAACTCGATCCCTTTTGCGTAACAATTCTACTATTTTATACTGTAAAACTGGATCTCTCAGTTTTTAGTAATTCTATAAAACTCATTGAATAACAACCGAATGCACATTTTCGATATAACCGCGCATAACCGTAATTGCCATGAATCGATACGATGTACCGGGTGTACAATTGGAATAATAATACAATATATACACAAAACAAACGTCTCGATTGTTGCATATATTCAGATATGTGTGTGAAACAATATATGCGCAAGAATCTTTAAAATATCTGTTCAGAAAAGCTATGATATTGTTTATAGGAGAAAAATTCTAGAGAAGAACCAAGTTTATTATAGTAATATTTTTTCCAAAATTATAGGTTTTTGAAAATTGTGTATTAGATATAAACAAGAGACGCGATTTGAGACTTCAAATGTTTACACGTGGGAGTGTAAGAGGAAAAGAGGATTGTTGAGCATCAATTCTATTGCATCAAGTCGACGCTTTGTGCGTACTCAAATATTACGATTCGCGGATAACGCGAACTGAGTAAGCCGCGGTGCAATGAACTGCAAAATACCGAGGGCAATACCTACGATCGATTCGCGGTCGACGTTAATGTTTCTATGCATCGGCTAACTGGGAAGGAAGCGGTCGGGAAGAGAGAAAGGGCGGAAGGGAGGTTAAGGAATTCTCCGTACTTAATGGCCCGTGCAGTTATTCCATGTACTTGAACGCTTTCTTAGATCATTCGCAAAGGTGGGAAATAAACTCTTAGTAACTTGGTTCATTTTCCTTTATATGCTATAGACAGCACGCCGGGAGATACGAGATCTCCTCATCGGTCGTTTGCGGCAGTTGAAGCTGGTCATTCACCGACTCAATCGAAGCAACCGACGCGCTTCTTTCGCGTTTGTGGTCGTTTCAGAAACGTACCTCCGCTAACCGAGAATATTTTACAGACATAATAACCATAGTGCCCTAGAGAGATTTATAGGAATTCTGCAGAGTCACAATCGCGGATCTCCTATTTATCACCTTTTATTCGATCCGCAAAAATGATATTTGTACCGCTGTAAAACGATGCATAAGTCCGCAGAAACACCCGAGAGAGAGAGAAGACTCGAAGAACTTTGACAATCCATTCATCAACCTGCCGCCAGATCCGCTTCTGCCGCTTTTGTTAATAAAGTGGCTCAAGCGAATACTCGCTATAATAGACTTCGAAAACTTGGAATCCGCGGATAAATTTTGAAGTATCGTGATTAATAATCATTATGAGTTTTACTATAAACCTCTCAACCTCTTTTTCAATCGTTGGAACTATTCATTTTCATTGACTATCCAGTTACTAAATATGTCAATTCAAAGTGACACTTTTTATCTCTGCCGGCGGTTTAAACGTACCAATAAATAAAAGAGCCTTTGACTATTCAAGAGCACGTTTATTTGGAAATATCGTCCTTTTGTTTCGATACGATGACTGTTTTGACAGAGAGATGTGAACGACAGTTGATGTGTACGCGGGAAAAGCGATTTCACATACAGACGCGGAGATCAAATTTTTATTAAATTTATTATCATAAATAAATTTTACTTTTATATTATACCATATTTTTCTTCTCACGGAAAATAAAAAAATTACATAACAGTATAGACAAATTATGAAAAGCGATCGAATAAAAAAAAATTACAAAAAATGCGTTTTAATAAATAATAATGAGTCGATTAAAGCCCAAATCCGTGTTTTAATGTTCTTGATAATATTTACAGTTACTATAAATTATTACAAAATTATCTATAGATTCTAATTAATTCTTTCCCTATTATTATGGAAATCAATACAAACGAAAAACCAATATTTGTCTTTAGAAATAAATGAAGCTGGAAGATCGTCTCGCAAACCTAATAAAATTTGCAAAATTGTTCTAGTTTATTGTCCATCTTCGTAGTCGTCATGACTTATTTACCGATACTTAGGATGCGATACGATAAATATATCAAATTTCCTGAAGAAAACCACTTCAGCTTGCAATTCAAAAGTTATCGGAGAAACAGATGAACGAAATAAAACTTCCCGAGTGACACTTAATTTCTCTTCCTCGGCAGCAAAGAAAAATGAGGTCTTGTTCGCCGTCTTGTGCAACGTATTCAACTCGCTTCTTATCTTACGTAAAAATAGAACGTTGCGTGCACGGTGTTCAACGATCTTTTTTTTTTTTTCGTAAAATTCGTATTTTAATTATTATTAAATCAGTTAGCGAAATGCAAAATGCGAATTAACTGTAAGTAAACTTTTCTCAGTTACAACAAAACTATCTAACTTGAAAAATAAACTTGTGAAATTATCGAGCGAGACCATTACAAAGTTGCGCAAATTAAAATAAAGAATTGTAATGTTGATAGCGTATTTTCCTATCTCTCCTTCCGTCTCTTTCCCTCTATTCGGCAAATTATCCGGTATATAATAACGCGCACCATCGGTCTTCCACGTTGTACCATCTAAACGCATTAAATTTGTTAAACTTGCAGTGTCGTTTTACGGGGCGAGCTACATCCATCTTCCGGTTCAAGAGGCCAAAGGTGCTACTGACATCAGTTTCCGGTTTCGAACTCATCTTGCAGATGCTATGCTGCTATTGGCTGCCGGAAAGACGGATTACTGCCTGATCAAGCTCGAAGCCGGCAGATTGAAGGTTCGTTTGCCCCCGGCGCTTATTTCTATTAATAGGCTTTCTGTTTGGTGCCGGTCGTCTCGTCGTCGTTAACAGGCCGCACGTGCTGCGTGATACGCCTGTCAGACTGCTCTCTTCTCCTGTGTCCTTGCGGAGAAATTAGACGCGCCGAAAAAAAACGGTCTTATGTGCGCTAAAATATTCCACCGCAAGGGACACGGAGAAAAAAGAAAGATTCATCGCACAGATGTAACACTCGTGCGCGTGTCCGCGATTCTTATTACTCTTCTCGATTCTTATTTCTTGGCGAAAGAGGTGGCACGGCTCCAGCAGTACGACGAAGGATATTGCATCCAAGAAAAGAACCTAATCGCGATGTGGTAAATTTTACAGCATGCGTTAACCATGCAATTTCGCAATGTCGCATATATTCTAATTTCTTTCATTTTTATTATGTTATCAAATATTTATGAGCATTTATTATTTATATTTTATATGTGCAATTTTAAAATATTGTTTTTTGATTAATAATATTGCAGATATTCGCACATCTTCCGTGCAAAGAATATTAAGAATATTAAGATTAATATTTAGATTAATATTTAACGTTATCTTTTCTCCTTTTATTGTCATATTTAATTCACAAGGCTGTTGCAATTATTTAAAACAAAAAGAGAAAGAAATGTCGAGAAGAAACACTTATGCTATTATTGAGAGATAAAAAAAAGGTAAATAAGAAGTAACTATAGGTTCTAAGATAAAAAAAATAAGGGAAATGAAGAGGATAGAACATACAAAGGCGATGATCTGTAAGATCGCTATATATCAGTCAAGGGTTAATAAAAGAAGGTAGCAACAACGTTAAAGGGTTAAGGGTTAAGAATAGGATAATACTTCTATACTGTAACATCTAAGTCAATATCGCTACAGCGCAAAATAGCGCAACATATTTTTGTCAAAAAATTTGCTTCTTTCTGATATTAATATTTTTTTACGTTATTATAAAATATTGAGAATAATGGGAAACTAATTATCAAACTGAGATAGTAGTTTCGATATGCAAAGTAAGATACACAACGCTACTTGTCCTTTGAATGCTAATGTCGATCCACAACAACGTTGTACTATGATATAAAAATCTGATATGCATGCAGATAGAAACCTTACGTACAGAAAACCAAATATGTACAGTAGTAAAAAAAATTCAATAAATGGATTCGCCACAAGCAAAATACAGTCAAACTAGCCACCAAATTCAATCGCAGATGGATTTCAACATCGCGGAGTATCACATTTCCTGGCCTCGAATTGTGTCTCAATTATAGTGAGTTAACCCCTATGCCGCCACTATTGTATTTAACCCAACCAATGAGTCAGCAATCGCGAGATTAAATCGCATACCAATAAATTCATGGGACGTACGGTATAAACGTTTTTGTCCCTAATAAAAAAGATTTTTACGATAGTTGGTAAATAATTATTTCAGATGAAATGCCTCTGTTATTTTTTTAAAAGATTATCTACGTTCTTCTTAATGGCTGGACGACGCAGCGCACCGATGGCAGTCACTTTTCATTTCACAACACTTCGAACAACAATGAGAACAAAACCGCATACTTAATGTCTCTTCATCGATATCTCATACCGCGCGAAATAACTCCTATCGCGCGATGACGGCGTTCATTCTTTTTGCACCTTATTTTTTTCATTGCGCATCGATACGGTGCGGCGATGTTTCGACTACGGACTGCAATACCATCCGACTTCGTCGCGACACGCGTTATTTTAACGTATCGGTCAGAATTTCACGCAATTGGTCAAAACTGTCCAACGCGAGACGAAGTTATTCGGTCGGGTTTTACGCAATAATGAACATTGTGGTCCACATGATAGGGTGAGTTTTTTTCCAGTAAAAAAAGAATTGCACAGAAGTTACGCTCAAATTGAATGACGATATTCATTCTCGTAGACCTCTCTTTCTATTTCTCTGATATGGATAACTCCTATCGGAAACTCATATCGGAAATTATTCTAAAAAAAATTATTCGTTCGAATCTCATGCTAATTTACGTGCAATAATTAAACAAACAGTATTTGTAATGTATGTGAAATAAACAAAAACGATTCACTTTGCTCTGGCAATTTTTGAGAGAAAAAAATATTCAAGATTGCAAACAGAAACAAAAAAGAATTTATTCCGCCTCGTATATCCTCTAAGGACATTTATATATTTGTACTGTTGCTGGATCGTAAACGCGAAAATACACGTATTACATTATAACAAAATTCCATTTCATATTCGTTCACTAGAGTCAGAAATTGAAATTCAAATTGAATATACGCGGAATACGAACTTTCGTGATCGATATCTATGTTATTATGACGAGCGTCAAGCTGGCGGTGGAGATGAACATGGTTGTCCGTATATGAAATATGTACGTAACAGAATAGTACAACGGCGCGCCTATAAACAAGTTTCACGGGCCATAATGAGAAGAACGCTGACAGCGATAGAGTTCGTGCAGTAGCCATCCTGTCTCTTGATAATAACCGCTGATGAGAGAGCCGCGCTGCTTCTAATTATGTGCAAAGAACGTTGCGTTGCAACGAAGTTACAACTTCGCACCGCAGATTATTAATTTTCCAACGATTAATATTCTCGCGCGTATTCTCATATTCTACATGATTCGTTATCACCTTTCCCTCTCTCTCTCTCCCACCCTCTTTCGAATGAAACGTGCTTAGCGCCCTAACTCTTGCGAGCTGCAATTTGCAATTGCGAGAAGTATGAGAGGACGCGCAAGTCTGAATATTGTTTTCGTGCGCAATCAGAACAATCCATTTTCTCCTACATGTAGCACCGTGTCATTACTATAATGATTATTCCGAAATGCACTGAATACACTTGGCCTCTCGCATTCTTCAGTCACAAAATTTTCATTACTTTCAAGCACTTTCAAGCCCTTTCAAGAGATACGATCCGCCGCTTTCGTTTGCTTCTTTTTCTTTTCATTTTCGTTCCTTTCAAATCGACTTAACCTTGAGGTAGAACCGTATGTGTGTGTGTGTGTGTGGGTACATATCCTTCGATACAGTATTGTAATAAAATATCCTCTACTCTAAGAGAGAGTGCATTAGCCGCGTGCAGATGGGTTACTCGCATGAATCTTGGCGTGAAAACCGCGCGAATCTAATTTCGCAAAGGGTTAAGTCTGTGCGGTGCAAAGAAGCTGCTCGCCGTCGAGGCTTAATTAAATTTGTTAAGAAGATCGTTAAGGAGGATGAAAGCAGGATAAACGGGCCAGGGCAAAAAGTGCAACGGCAGTTCTGGAGTCTCGTGTGCCTCCTCGACGAGAAGGAATCTCGCTCGACGCCTCCGGAGGCTTAAAAGACCCTCTATCCGGCGATAATCCGGCGATTCAGAACTTAATTGCAACGATATATCGCGGTATCGCTCGCTTCGCAGCCGGCGATGTAGTCGAGCCCTCCATTCTCATGTAGTATTCGGGACTTGAAAAACTTTTCCTTTGCCTTGTCTTGAGTTTTTAATTAAATTTATTCCGCATACTTAATTAATTAAATCCGTGTAATTTAGCCTATCTGCACCACAGCCGTTGATCCTCTTCTTATGATTATTGCGTATAAATATAGCGACTATGACAATTGCCAAATTTTACTGCAAGTTACGAACTATCGTTAAACGGGAGAGAGAGAGAGAGAGAGATAGATTGTTTAACGAGGAGAGCATGATGAACCTGAGTTATTAAGAATTTGATAGTAGCAAGTTAATATAATGGATCATAATGTCTTGTAATTAGAGTAAAAGTCATTTTGTACTTTTCCTCTTCGTTAAGGAGATTGTAATCCTAGTAATTATAAAACATTGTTACTAGCAGAGCGCGGCATTTTTCCTGACCTAAATAGGTATTTCCTCGGTATTATTTGTATTTAAAACGCAATAGGTGGATAAACGCATCCTACTATATAGCAAAACTAATGAAGAACGAAAGCGAGCGTATCACCGACGACTGCATTTCGAGCGCGAAGAGGTCGTTGATCTCGAGCCTTCGGTAATCCGATGAATCCGAAGCTTAATTACTGCGGCGTATCGCGATATATCTCTCACTCTCCAATGTGCGGTGTTCCGTCCTTCGTCGACGGCTGACGTGAAAGGGAAATTTTCTGCGACATGTCGACGGTACAGCGGTCGTAGTAGTCGAACAGTTTGCGCCGACAACACATTTCTTCCGCTATTGCCTTGTATCATACCATTTCAATCTATATTCGCGGTAAACTTGAATATCGGTATATCACAATAGCACTTTGCCGCAGCCAACACCGACGTGCCGCGGATAATCCGACGATTCGGTCGCGCCGGAATGCATTGGCGGCTTCCGATATTGCTCACTTTCCAATCGTCGATGCATTCATAATGCGGTCACCGCAGCGACTGTGTGTGTATATAGAGGCAAGTTTACATACTGCAAAGTGTCGCGTCTCGCGCGCTTATACATATTAATAGGTTTTGCATAGTTATCCGGCACCGCTACATCCAACTAAAGTAGCGTCGCATCGGTTCTGCTCGTAGAATCGCGAAAGCTCGCACCTTTATTACCGGGGTCGATCGTAAAACCGGCGATGCGCCGCTGTGCCAGTCAATGGCTTATTGAACGCGATGCCACTACTGCGACCTTAGTCGAACGATCGACTTTTCATTAAGAGGCGGAAAACCACAACGGACGCTCCCCTCGATCTCTTATGTAGGATCAACGAAGATCGCTCCAAGAACACCGTAACGTTATAAGTCTCGAATGCTCGATCTGGGTCGCGATTAAAGCCTCTTTATCGGGACTCCGCTACTTTACTTCCGGCGCATCGTATATTATCTAGTAACTCGATAATGCGTTACACCGCGTTGAAACATAGGATATGTTTAACGAACAATATTGTGGAAGGTATTCCAAGAAAGTGTCTTTATCTACAACTATTCAAAAAATTTTTGAAAAAATATATTTCACCGCAATCATTTTTATGCTGTTTTCTTCGTATTTCTCTTTTTTCAATTTCAATCATTTGACATTAAAATCTCTCTCTAAGAAAATGTTCAGTATAATAATAATCACTACAAATTTATAGAAAAATTAAATTTTTTTATTGTATGGTACACGTAATTTTAATTTTTCGTAAATAAACTACGCGTATATAGTTTTTATTTTTATATCTCTCAAGAATAACTTTAAGACGATTAATCTATCCGGCTTGAAGAAAATTTATCATCAAACATACGAGTATAATACAATGCACAATAACTATTCGAAAATCCACAACGTCAACGTAGCAGACGGCGATCTTGGTTGATTTAGATGCCTTTCGTGAATCTAAATATACGCGGAGAGTTTGGAATTTATTCCCTAGCGAATGTATCGTAAATCCAGCACGCGTAACTAGAAATCCCAAAGGCGCGATTACAAGTAGCTGTAGTAACCGCTGTTATGTGACACGTTTTGAGAGACTAATGATACACATATCCGCCTCATATGCGATTCTTACGCATTACGTATAGGCATAGAATAATTAAGATTATAGAAATCTTGTCAACGACTTATCGTTAAATTATGGCCAAACTATCATATTTTGTCTATCGAGATTGGTCAAATATGGAAAAGCTGAGCTACCGGCGAAGGGGTTCGACATTTATTTTCCGCACGAAACCGACAGCCGTTTTCATTGTCTGTCTAGCTGTCTGCCTTCTTCATTCTCTCAGCGTGCAAACTCATTGTGCGAGTGCTTCAAGTGCAGACGGAATACGCGAAACCTCGAGCTGTCGGATCCCTGTCAGCTCACGCTGTCAGAGAATTTGCAGGCCATGAGTGCCGCCAGGCAACCTCGTATACCGCGGTTGGTACCTATTTGGCACCTACTTTGGCAACCAACCCTTTTTTGCGCATTTATATCCGTTCCTCGATTGACACACGAAAACGATAAATCGAATGCTCTCGTCGAAATCTCGAATTTTCCAGAAATACAACTTTCTGTGTGTGTATCAGAATGAAATTAACTTTCTGTCATGTTAAATCAAATCGCAATAGTGTTTATAAGATAAGACTAATAATCAACTGAACAATAGAACGTTCTTATTTAAAAAGCGATTATCTTGCTCCAGTAATGTTCTTATTGCGAAGTTTTATTTGATTTTAGCCTATTTTTCTCATCCGCATGTTTATGGTATAATTATTTCACGGCAAGTACGAAACTTTTTAATCACAGTGTCGAGACCGTAAAGAAGGTAAGCTATCTTATAGCATTACGACGGGACGCTTCTTGCGGCTTTCGCGCGCGCAGTCACCGATTACTTCGCTCATTAAATCTCCTAAAAGTGCGCGCATTTCTCCCTCTCGCTGTTCATCGGTAAAAACTCTTTACGCGTTTCCATAATATTTTTTACGCGCTGCACGGCACTGGCTGACTGACGCGGAAGGGCATAAAGTACACCGGGTCTACATCCGGAAACCGAAGCTCTATTTCAGAAAGAACAACCGGCCTCTCGAAAAAAAGACCGAGAAAAAATAAAACAAAAATGCATTTGTCCGCGCGTACGTATAAAACCCATTTGCGGTAGCGGCGTGTCCACAATAACTCCGGTAAAAATGAGACTGACTTTTACGAGTATCGCTCCTACTGCTTTTTACCGCAGGTTCACATTAATCTGGGTGCGGGTGAAAACGAGATGGCGAGTGCTCGCGGATTGACACTGAACGACCTCAACTGGCACGAGGTCAATTTGACGAGACGCGAAGCCAACATCAGCCTGCAGATCGACGTGATACACACAACGAGGTCTCAACTGCCGGGTCGCTTCTTTGAGCTGAACATACACTATGGCATTTTCATCGGTGGACAAGGCGACTTCAACGAATTATTTCTAGGTAAGACACGATGAGGCAAGCAGAGAAAAAGCAAGACAGGCAAAGCTCATCCGGATAAATTGTCTCGCCACGTGACTGAATTAGATTCGATACACGTCGCGCCGGCAAAAATCACATTCGTCAACGTTGCATTCGTGCCGCGATCACGATCGTTCCTTTTTCGCTTCGTTTAGTTAAATGGCTGGCTCAACAGCGACGAGGAAAATGGAGAGATTATATAATCGAAGCTAAGAGCTACGTTTAATAAATAATCAGCGTCACGTTCAGCACTCAAAATCACCGGATAAGATAGATTATGTGATGTTTTTTGATGATTTTTATTAGAGACTTTAGTGCAAAGTATTTTTAGCAAATTGTTTCACATTATACGCATATGTAAAAAATACTGATGATGTAAATAACACTAAAAAAGGTAAACTCACTTATATAAATAAATAGAACACATTTAAAGAATAATCGCGATTAAGACAAATGTCAGATTAACATTAATTGCAGATTAAGACAAAATTTCTATTTGCCCGGATTAATTTTTACTCAGCCAATCTAAATTAACATTATTTGAATATTAAATATTAATATATATCTTTTTCTGTTTTTTATTTAATAAATATTAATATAAAAATTAAAAAAAATAATGGTCGATAGTATGCATTATGTGCATTATATGAAATAAATAACAATTACGATTTAATAATTTAGTGCATCACAAATTCCATGCATTATTCATGCAATATTATTAATTTCCGTTTCATGATTAATTTATTAAATTAACAGGCACGATACGTAATTATTAAAACCTGGAGTGAGTACGATGTGCTGTGTACCGTGCAAATATTTCTGCGCGTATCAGAATATTTAAAAGATAGATGAAAATAGTACACACACGAGAATACGAGGAAAAATTAATCTGATTATAAAATCTTAATGATAATTCGTGAATTATTTCCAGAATTATGTTAGACTCAATTCTATTTGCGGCAACGAGAATTACAACTAGAATTATGTCAACTAACATGGAACGATGACATTGTCGAAACATTGTTTCGACAGCTTTCTGTAATAGCAATCCCACGAGATGGAATGAAAATAGTAAAGATAAAAAATAAGTATGTGAAATGTCATTTCTTAAAAGTGAAATTTTGTCATAATTTTTAAAAAGTAAAAGTTATGGAATGTAAAATAAGTCAAGATAAAAGAATCTGACGTCTCCCAGAGAAAAATTGTAATTAAATATTAATGAATCAAAGCAAATTTCTACAATAAAATAATTGAACAATAATATCTGATAACCAGTATCGGATGTATCAGAAAAGAAATGTTATTTATTAACGTTTATTTTGTGTTTTACAAAATTCTGCGGTATATCGCGATATTACATTTGAAACCAACATTTTGAACCAACATTTAATATCTCTTAGACGGCAGTTTTCAAGGAAAGAGAAAAAGCTTGATATGCCTCACATATATTATATTTTCTAGAAATGTTGCAAGACTTTTTCTTGTAGACTTTTTCTTCATTTTGGAATGAAAGTTATTGATGCTTTCTTTTTAGCGCAATTATATTAATGAAAGATCAACAAATGTGGAAAATGTTATATATATTCAAAATATATAGAACACTATATCAATAAAAACAGAAATAACTAATTACATTATACACATTGCCTTAAATTGGCAGGTAAATAGCGAACCGATTAAATAAATTTGATTATGAGAAATAACTAATAGTTTAAATTATAATTATTTCCCAAATTTATATTGTATAAAAACACGTCCATTATTTTTAGATTGCTCGTTAAAAATGTATTACAAAACGATGCCTAGATTATTGTTCCGAATAATACCGCCATAACAGTGAATCAATTGTTTGCCATCGCGCTGAGTCGTGACGACGAGTGAAAACAGGTGATTACAACGATATAGTGACCAATATTATTATATCGAAAGTGTGACATACACGCTGTCTCGTGTTTCCGCGGTAGCAATGGGCTTAAATAATGGAGCACCGGGAGCACGCGTTGCACAAAATCGCACGAACGGGGGTTGTAATTCAAACATTTGCCTTTGTTTTCGTTGTGTGGGCGCAACGTGTAACGAGACTCGTCTCGTACACCAGTAACGGTCGTAATTACAGTTCGATGTACCGCACGATCAGCACTTTATCAATGTCAGTGTAACTTGGTCTAATCGTAACATCGTAAAATATAACCGTCGAATCGATCACATTCATAATTTCGTTTTTGGTCCTAATTTTATTACGGTGCTCGCGATTCTATTTGCATCACGAATAAATTGGAAATCGCGGTGTGTCTCCCATGAGAGAAACGGCGATCGGAAAATTCTCCTTCCTCATCTCTCGCGGCTACAACGCTTGGGTGTATTACGCCTTTGCGGTGAAACTCCGGATTATACGTTCCTTTGCTTCACAGTACACCCGCCCTATCACCGGTCATAGAACACTACGAGTTGAACGACTGAGAAAAGGCGGGGATATCCCTCTATTTTCAACGCAATCCAAAATATACAAAAAAACCTTATAAGGGAAAACCGACGTGAAATATAGCAATAGTATTGTACGATTGGAATATATTAGAGGATGTTGAAGTAGTTAGAATAAATTGAAGCACGCCGGTAACTTGACTGAAATACTTCGCAGAAGGGATATAAAAACGTAATCACGTGAAATACGTGATATCTCGACGAAAATATCTCAGAATTCACGAGAAATAAGACTTGAAGCACTTAAAGATATAATTCGCATTTATAACGTGCACAATCATAATTTCATTGTACTTACGATTTCATGTCCTATGACCTGGTTAGAGTAACTTGGCTCTTACGCTCGAATGCGGCCGTACTCTTCGCGCTCCATACGTGCCACAAGCAGCTTGATAACGACCGGGCTCTTTAATGCAGGCTTGGCGCATCAGCCGCAGAGGCCGGTAATCATTTCCCCGCTGCAAAACAAAAAATTCAACTAGGTCATTCCGTTTGAATTGACGCGAGCGAAATTGAATACGATCAGCGCAAACATCATCTTTTTCTCTTTCTCTCTCCTCCTTCTCCCCTTTCTCCTCTCTCTCTCTTTCTCTCTTTCTCTCTGTGCGAACGCTCCCCCATCGTTATCCTGCCGACCGTCACGCATAATACTCGGCGACCAGCTCGAAATTCAATTTACATATTCATGACAATTCATTTGTACCCCACGGTGTGTACACCCACCTCGGAGTAGGTCTTATTAATTCTCCGGCATGGGCCTTGCGAAATTCTCGAGTCGAGGAATAAAGAACCAATCCCTAGTATTCGAGGGAGGGTGCGAAACTCATTTTCGCTACCGAATCGTATAGGATTATACAGAGTGCTTCGAAAGTAGTCTACAAGTTATAGAATTGTAAAATTCTTGACAGAGTTTGCAATTGATTCCTTTATATAAGATTTAACTTTTCAACTTCCAATTTTAGCTTTTGATATGCCAGCGATTAAACATCGAGATGAGTTACCGTTAAAGTGAAACCCATTTCATATTAATGGAGAGATAGCATTTCTAGTATTGCTCAACTATAATTTTAAAGTGGAATTTATATTTTTAACTTTTAATATGTAAATAATAAATGCAAAATGCGCTGCTTTTAAAATAAACACTTAGGGTACTATGTGCAGCGCATATATACGTGTATCGTGTTAGTTGTATTTGTGTACACTCGCGTACATACACATACAAGATCGCACAATGCAGGGTATAGTACACCTATAGTCGATTGCAAGATTCTCGGCATGGATTCCGCTTATCGGCCGCCATTTCCTCGGATCTGTAGAAATATAGAGAATATTCTGTCCGCACGAAGCGTATATTTGAAAGATAGCCGCAAAAAATCAATAAAAATACATTCCGATATACCAATATCCAGATCTTAATATCTATTTGGAAAGTCCTTTTCAACATTATAATTTTAAGAGCACTAAATATAAATCAAAATTCATAATGCTGTGACATCGCGACAATTATTTATTTTATCACCGCCACATTATAATGTTTTTCAAGAGGGCCGTGAGATATCTCAGTTTATTTCAAAACTCGCACTTTCTCAATTAAAATTTCTTTATTTGCCGTTTCTTATAATATAAAATTTATATTATCTCTCAACTCACTGTAGTAGTTCCTGTTTTTATTTACGTAGATTTCAAACGTTTCTTAACTGACGTGATTAATAAATAGGGACAAAAACACCGAAGAAAATTGAGAAAAGAGAAGCTCGAAAGAAAGTTACTTTTATTTCACGATAACAATGCTTACTGACAGCTACATAGTCAATTTACAAGACCACTGTGATATCAATGCAATTGCCGTTATCCACGCAAATGTATTTTCCGAAAATCGTTATTTCATCTCGACATGTGGCTGCGTGAATCCGCCAATGTTTAGAGACGCATAAACTGTTGTAGCCACTGTTTTGTGGCGCGACTGGCTGTGCGCCAAAGCACCTTACAATCGATAAAAGTTTGCATTATATAAAAAGCTAAAAGCTCATAGCGATGTTGAGAAGCCACAGGCATTGTAAACAGACTGGCAGACTGATTTAGTTCAGCCGCCGGTATTCCGTTGCAAATTGTCCCCGCGATTCCGCGGCGTGCCAATAAACGCCCATCTCGGACCGCCCTATATACGCAATATCCTGTGTCGGTTTCTGCCGCGCTTGGGGTGGCAACCCCATCTTAGCATCTATCGACACGAGGCTGCTCGAGGGTAATCTGCCAATCCACCACGAGAGATGCGCTTGTCACACGCGAAGACAATTAACTTCACGTTGCAGCAAGCCCGCCCGCGGCGCGAAACCTCCCCGGTTTCGCTAAATCCGTTGTCTGTCGCAAATATCAAGTATATCACGCACACATTATAATATATATTATTCGCTTCTCCGCGTGACAACGTTACGCCGTAGGAAATTTCGAACTCGTGGCGAAATTGAATTGCAAGCAACGCTTCGACTGTTAGAATTACTGAAAATCAAGCAAGGAACTCGAGTAGATCCGTTTTGCATTGTTTAAATTACCGTTACACGTTTAAGATATAAACAATTAGTAAAAATAAAAAAATGTTAAAAAATGTTTAGTTTTTTATCTATTAATTCTGTTTTTCGATAATGCAATTAATATTTAGTGCATAGCAATTAATTACTTATAATTAATTTCTCTAATATTCGCTAATGATGAACGATCCACCAATCAAAGAGATAAAAAAAATAACAACACCCGCCGTTAGCAAAACCCGCATTCGTCTAAAATCGCAATCGTTCCCAATTATTTCTACGCAGCGTTTCAAACGGCACGAATCAATAACGGCCTCATTAACGGAATGTTTAACCCCTCCCCACCTGCGAAGTTCATCTATGAAACGGAAGCGTATTTTGCAGATTTATTCGATTGCAAACGTATGCAAAGTTTGTATCGTTATTACGTAACGACCCTTTCCCAAAACTTTCATTACGTTACAATCGAGACCAACTTGCGAGGCTAATCCTTCGCCTGTCTGATTCGCAGGGCACACGGATTATCTGAGAGGATGCATGGCCGACATAATCTACAACGGCGCCAAAGTTATAGAGTACGCCAGGTCGAGGAAGGGCCAGTCGGAGGCAACAGCCGTAACGTGGGGCTGCTCGCCGGAATTCGACGCCACGAGGCGCACGGAAGTCAGCTTCGTCGAGGACGGCGCCTTTGCTGCCATTCCGCGTCCCATCCCGCGCTCTGGTTCGAGGTATATACCAAAAGTACCGCCTTCCGTTTGTAATGTATGCACTTCCATTTACCGTCGTCGCACCTACGAGACTCGAAAGCTTAGAACGATAGAAAATGTAATTAAACTGTCGTGAGGCAGCCGCGTCGACTGCATCGCCAATAGCATTTATATCGATGCAGGAATATTTAATGTCGTTAAACTATCGAACGTACCTATTATTTACCTATTATTTAATTAGTCTCGTCATCATCATATATCTAATTGGCTTGAAATATGACTTTGAGAGAGATTTTACAAACGTCGTAAAAATCAACATTCTCGCGCAAAATCGAATCTATTTTTTTTCCGGGTCTTATGAGATAACGTTTTCAGTTTGAACGGCGATTCTATCGCGCACTGCCGCCGAAAACGTAAAATAAATATGTTGGTTCACGAATCCAATATCTTATGGTAATGCCGCGGGAAATCCGTTTCACCGAGGTCGGCGGCGTGGTCGCATAACTCGCATACCCTTGCACGTAGCTGTGTATCTACATCCAGGCCGCATTCAAGCCATCGGTCAGGAAAGGCCTTTCATGTTACGCGACTCCTACCACTTTCATCTCTCACGCAGCTTTTAACGACTAAACCCGTGGAAATGTTGTTAAATCGTCTCGAAAAACTCGGAAACAACTGTTTCAATCGCGTTATGCGTCGCCGTTAACTCTTGAAATAAGGTAGACGGCGATGTCTTGTCAATGGAGACACTTTGATCTCTCTTTTCAATGCGGCACAAGGACGAGACGGAACGGTCGATCGACTCGAAAATTCATAACGATAATGCTACTTAGTGCGTCAGCAGTTGTTTGTGGAATTAATACTATTCGCGACACAGAACTCCACGGACCATCATTTACGCTAATGAATAAATATTACGGTATATACGGGCAGACGGAGCGCAATTTTGTTAAATGATAAATTCATGCGATCTCCGTGCGGTACGATAACTTCAATATAAGCCCTTTTAGCGCAGAGTATAATAATATCAATAAATAAGTACAGAACATAATCTGGGGCATGCAAGTTTTAATTTCAGCATTAAACAATGGAAAATATTATTTTTGCTGAAATGGAAAACCGACTCGCAGAGTACAACTGAAAATACACACACCTAACATGTGTTTAAATGAATTAAAGGATTTTTGAGAAACAAATTCGTTGTTTTTACCTGCGTGGAGTGCACACAGACAAACATGCATTTTGCAAGTTTTCTACGAACAAATTGTGTACATTGCGGTTTCGTGGGTCCCTTGTATATCTCGGAAATATCTCAGAATGAAACCACGAAAGCCCGTTAGAGCCTTTGTTTCTATAAATTAAAAGCACGGCGGGGAAACCAACAATGTTTACGTGGAAAAACGTACGCTCACAGTAAGATGTATATTTTCCAATAATGGCTACAGAGCGGAACAAGCATTTCCGCCTACGATCTCCATTTCCATCTTATGTTTTCGGCTATTAAGCTTTCGCAAAGAATGTAGATTCTCCATTTGTGCTGTGGTTATGAAAATGCTAAGCACGGTCGAGAAGACTAAAAAACTTGGGCGAGCCAGATGCGTCCTGGCTGTGCTGCTTCCGCGAAGATTATTCGGGACTGCGCTAAGAGGCGGAAAAACGCTTCATTTTCACACGAATGCGATGTACATGCGGTTAAGCGCGGGTAATACTGGCTTTCACATACAGATAGTTAAGTCCTGCTTGCGCGCACGGTTTTCCGCGTCTTGTAGGATCGCGGAAGCTCCAACCGTAGATACCCCGATTCTTTTGTTGTCTCGAATTAAAAGCACACTAGTCCCGAGTAGTACCTTAATTTAACACTTACGTGAAGAAATAAATGGTGGAACCTGTTGCATTAATGCGACTAAAAGAAACACAATACGCACACACTGGTTCGTTTTTTCGTATAAATATTTTAGGGGAATCGACTTCTGTTTTCATATCAAACAGGTCTGTATGCACGCTATATCTAGTCGATAAGCTGATAAATTGATAGTCATGCGGAATCGAGTGGATGACTGGACAGTCGTAACTGTCTTCCTTCCGCGGCTACATGAAATCGATGAACCGTAAAGATTTCGACGTACGCTCTCTGAGTTCAATTGATCTGGAAGATTCAAATGTATGCACGGCTCACATAAACATTCGTGCTATCTCCGCTATATAAACGGAATATGGGCTCACCATTTAGTTGCTAAGTACTTAATTCATCACGTAGAAAACATGAAATTATAATACTCTTAACGTAAGTCAAGTTTATAATCTCTCTTCTCGTGTTCTCATTCAGTTTAAATCAATAAAGATTTAAAAAATTAGATAAAAGGTAGATTCTTTAAGTTTTAATCACTGAAGTTTTTCAAAAGAGAATTCTTGTGAAAAATGGTTGCTAAAGCGTAAAAAATGCAAAAGAGTTACATTACGTTTTCGAAAGCAAAACATCGACTGATGAGAAGCACAAATGGACCGTATTAGAACATCCTTAGTGCACCTGTACAGCATGGTAAACAACTAATTGCGTTTACAATTCGCGCAGGTACACATTTGCCTACACCGTTGCAAGTTGAATTGTACAGTAAGATACAAACTAACATATCGGGCATTTTCGTTAATTCGTTTAACAGAGTTGCACGATGAGGTGATTTACAATGAGATAATTTTGATTCACGCAATTAAACGTAACTCCGAGTTTAATTGTGATATGTTTGTATTCTAACGCACATCAAACTTTTCATTATGCTATTAGCGAAGAATCATAAAAATGCAGAAAGCAAAAAAGTGTTATTAAATCGTTATTAAAAACAGAAAGAAAAAGCTGTATTAAAAATGTCGCGGTGGAGAAACGTTGCTGTATAATATTAATATTTGCGTCATAACATACGCAATGATAATTTGAATGCCTCGATATACATTGTCGATATCGCTATTGAATATTATTATTGCATTGGTGCCTGTTATTATGATAAAAGTCTACTCCGTAGTCTTGTAATCGCCATTGTAGTATTTCGTTGTTGCTACTTCAAAAGCAAAGTAATGAATCCGACCGCTGAAGTAAATAATCGGCTTTCGTCTTCGCAGCAGCCGTGGCGTCTTCGTGCACAAGTCGCGAAAATCGCTCATCCCAAAGTTTCTTGAGTAGAAGTCGACCGAGCGAAATTTGATTTGATTACAATTATAAATTCACAGCAAACAATCTTCTTTCTTCTCCCGTTCCCTCACCTCCACCTCCGTTTACCATCGTTTGCATTGCCTCGCTTGTTTAACTCGTGTTGCACGGATAACATTTTGCCTACTTAATCACGTTCTGCAGGTTTCAACATTAAACCATTTGAAAGGCGATGATTAAGCCAGATTGAGGAACATGCAATTATTTTATAAAAATAATATTTGTGAAAATTAAAATTATCAAACTTTAATTGTCAAAGTGCCGAATCTTTCTTTGAGAGATCATTTGATTACACTGTAAAAAAATTTAGTAAATTTACACAACAAAAATTACACGATAAATAACAAAAATGTACTAAATATAAATAGTATAAAATTTATAAAATTATGTAAATTTATATTATATATTTAGTGAATTTCTGTTATTTATCGTGTAATTTTTACATCTTAGTTGTGTAAATTTACCGATTTTGTTTACAGTGTATGTAGCCAAACGATTCTTATATTCATAGAATTTTGTCTTCTTGTCGAAATCCGATTACTCAGCTTGGTTACAAATCGCTTTTCCAGAAGAGAATCCAATTTTAAAACGGAACAGTAAAGATAGTGCCACGTTCGATTAATCAATTCAGCTTTCGTAAAAGTTTTTTTTCGCGTTCAGTATCTATATCACTTTGCTGCATCGGTTACGCGTTAACGAATCAAAGAAATCAACCGCGAAATATTTGATCTGATCGCTAGGATACGCGATAGTATCGGAAATTTTACTCGGCTATCAACTCTACGATATCGACAGTGTTATCAAGACAGACATTCTCCCGGGCATCGTGACTGTATCGACTGTGTAGTTGTATACGAGCGTAATATCAGATGACTCTGGGAGAACTTGGGTCGCACGGTCCTTTCTTAAGAGATAGTAACGAAGTTTCTAGCCAATTTCATTTTACGACTTTGCAGATGGGAGTTCGAACTGAAGACCGGCGCTGACGGCGGCCTGTTGCTCTACAACACCGGACAATCGTCCTACGCTGATTACCTCGGCATCGAGTTGTTCGAGGGCAAGATACGATTGTTAATGAACAAGGGAAACGGTCCGACAGAGCTGATACACGACACTGTGGTGACGGACGGCAAATGGCACAACGTAATCGTGGACTTCAATCCGAGCGGTCTCGGTATCGCGGTCGATCGTCACGAGAAGACAATGGCACTGCCGTCCGGCGGAAATCGCTTCCTCGACTTAGCTGACACGCTCTACATCGGTGGCACGGAGTTGAACAAGCGCGCTCGTGCTCTGGGCAAGGGTCTTAGATCCGGCGACGTGAGTTACAAGGGCTGCATACGAAACATGGTCCTTGACAACAAGGAACTCGGTTTGCCAGACGTCAAGGTCAGTCAAGGTATCGTCGCGGGTTGCGTCTGGGGATATCCGTGCGTGGAGGCTGATCCCTGCGTACCCGGTGCGTCGTGCGTGCAATTGGGTGTCAACTCATTTAGGTGCAACTGCGACCAGTCACTGTGCATCAAACCGAATTACGCCGAGGACTACAAGGTAGATCAATTTTAATTGAGTTTCGATGACGCTCCATCCCATTTGCCGAGGGTTACGTTGCGGTTGCGAGCTAATTATGTCACCGGCAATGGTGTACGGATTTAGAGAGATTCAAAATGCATGACCAACCAACCGAGCCAAGATAACCGACTGCCTATAATAACTCTTTAACAATCTTCATTTATATTTTCGCACTCAGCGAACACGACGCGAAACGCGTAAAAATATTGAACTTGGTCCGCATTAACTGTTAATATTCGACATTAAAGATTTAAATTTAAATAGATATTTTGTTATGATAACATTTGGATCAAATTAATATTTGTATCTATGAAATAAAAAATCGATATGACGTTTTTACAGATCTACTCAAATGCTAGTCTGCCCGTCAACTTGGAAATTCTCTCGCTGAGTCCTCTACTAGTTTCCGAGGGGGAACACGTGCTGATAACGAGTGAAAATATCGCAATGGTGCTGGACATCGCCAAATACGGTGTGGAGGAGATCGGTGTCGCATTCACTCTGATGACACCGCCTACTTACGGAACACTGGCGCTAGATCTCCTAACAACTCGAAGCGATCACTCTTTCACATTGCAGGACATCAATCAAGATAAGGTAACCAACCAATAATTAATTTCTTGAATATATTAACGTTAGTTTCGAACTCGCTGCTCGATCGTAAGGCTCGCGGTTGCAATGATTACCGCGATATTAGCGTCTGTTACACGTATGACGATAATGATCGAAATCAGCGAGTAATTTCCGGGAACACGTGTAAGAAGCGAAACTCGGTCGGCGTGCACCTGACGTTAATTAATATCAGGTGACTAAATGCGGCCCGGGTGCGGCTGGCCTCCTTTAAGGCCGTAGAAGGCGCCGAGAAACGTGGAAAGTCATGTGTTCTTCCAGTTCGTCATAGGACCACGCGCTGCTATACATAGTACACGCCGTAAGGACTAACTTTAGAACCGTTGGTTGCGGGAACATGAAGGGTCGGCCGACTTGTCATGCTCTCGCTCTCTCGCATACGCAGGCACCACGCCTGCTCCTCCGCTACCCACACTCAATTTATCTAGCGACAGTGCTCTATTTATAAACTGCCGCGCCACCGCTCATTAATGGTTTTTCGTTAGAGAATCGCGTATCGGGCGCTTTTTATTCGCCACGGCCCTCACCGCTCATTACTGTCAATTACTTTCTAATCGTTAAAAAAGAAGAAGGGGGAGGAAAAAAACTCACGTCTTTCCCCGGTCTCGACTCGGATCAGCCGAGGACGACGCCCACTCGATATGCTAATCGACAACTGCCGACTTAACCCCCGTCGCTGTAATTAATTTCAATCGCGGTCGATCTCGAGTGTTGGATCGAACGCCAGAAAGGATAACATGAGTCGGGTGCTCTCATGTACTCGCCCATGATTAATTCTGATTCTGTAGCACGATGTAGTGTGTGTTTGCCGCTCGAGAATCTCGTGGTACGGCAAACTGCGGCAAGTTAAAGTCCACACTCTCCTCGTTGTAAGGTTACTTCTATCTAACCAGTAATACACGATAAATTAAGGGTACTCGCGCGATTTCTTCCGTATGCAAATTTCCTTTGTAAGACATCGCGAATGTAGAAAACGCAAACCGTCGTGTCAATTATTCTCAAATTTATGATGTAAAAATATCGATTAATAAGCTTAACGGTACAAACTTTCTCAGAATTACAACGATTTTTCCACGTACATATGTAAATACGATATCCCATTACTATCCTACTATCCTTATTATAATTGACTTCTCCGACAGATACAGTATATGCATGATGGTAGCGAAACCACAGAGGACAGCATGATTCTGGAATTGACATTGGTGGCTGGGACGGGCTATACACTCCCAGGATATCTCCAAGGACGCCTCAGATTTCCTCTTCACGTTAATGTTACTCCTGTCAATGACCCGCCGTTACTCGAGATACCGACCGCGAAAGTACTGCGTCTGGCCCAAGTAAGATACAAAAATAAAACTAGTTTTTTTCCGCTACAGTCTTTCGTCGGTGCGTTTATTGTGATGCATTTTCCCTCGAATCGCCGATAATTCGGATTAGTGCGAAAATTCTAAATACGTTGCATGTGGCTTGGCCGAAACAACGGCCGGTTCACGTCATCCGGCTAAATCAATTAATGGAGGCCAAATGAAATAGTAGCTTATTTGTGGCTCGTGCATCTTCGGGGAACGTGGCAATTTAGCCGCAGCGAAATCGATTTAACTCGCTCGCGCGCCGGTCATCGCTCTTAATTAACCGCGCGTGTAAGCTCGAGAGTATGCGTGTATATCATACGCGTGCATAACGCATGTTTCTTTCGATCCGGATGCATATTCTCGGAACAGTAATCGCGATATAAAGTAAATGTAATATTTGCAATTGTGATTAATTCCATGCACGCTTATATTCAAGTGATTCCAACACGTTAAAAGTGCTACAATTATTTTAATAAATGTTAAAAATAGTAGATAGTTGTAATAATTGATTGACTGTAATTATACCACTGTTTAAATCTTTATAAAAACCTAATGATAACAAAAATCGTCATTTTAAGCTAATAACGTTAAAATAAAAATAAGATTTTTAATATTGATTGGTATTTTCAAATCATCTTTCAATACAAAATATTAATTGAAACGTATAATACATTGATTTGATATCTTGCTTGATACACGTCAGCGCAAAAATAACGGCGCAATTTCTCGCCGATTTGTTGCATTCTTTCCGCCAAACATGCAGCATCCGCCGGATGATTTCAAGCAAATATACAATATGTGAAAAATCGCTCATATTTGCAGGGTACGAGAAAAATACTGACCAAAGAATTAATATGGGCTATAGACGCCGATACTCCGTCAGAAATGTTGATCTACACAGTTTTGCGAGCTGATACCGATGCTGGGCACATCGAGAGAGTTACTTATCCGTTTCGACCTATCGATACGTTCACGCAAGCCGAATTAATGCAAGGTCTCATCGCGTACGTGCATCGTGGAAACGGTAATGACTTATTATTCTATTGTAATTGTAAGACACGCCGTGTATTTTTAAACATTTTATAAATGTATCTTTTAAATTTAAATCATTTTTTACGCGATTATCTTTTATTTTTATGTAAATGTAAACAGCAAAGAAGAATGCGTGTAGCATTGTATTTTTATTGAAAGCTATTATAAATGAAATATATTTATCGTTTCAGCCAAACCAAATGCAATGTTAGGTTTGCAAGTGAGCGATGGCATCGAAAGCAGTCAACCCGCCTACCTGCGCGTATCGGCTTACCCGTTGCAAATCAAACTGACGCACAATACCGGCCTCGTTGTGGTGCACCGTTCGTTCTCCTACTTGACATCCGCGAATCTCTCGTTCGCCACCAACTCCGACGACAACACTATCGATATCCGTTACGATGTCGTCTCGGCACCACAATACGGTGTTCTGCAGAAATTGAAGGACGTCTCTAGCAGTTGGACGAATGTCGACCACTTTACGAGCCGGGACGTAGAATTGCATACCGTTCGTTACTTTCATAATGTCGGCAGTCCTAATCAGGACGAGTTTAAGTTCCAAGCTAGCGTGCGCGAAGTGAAGACGCAGCAGATTTACGATTTTCGCATCACCTTCATCGATCTCGAGCTAAAGGAAACCAGAAGAGTATCTGTTAATCTCACCAACACGTCGAACGTTACCATCACAAGCAACCATTTGAAATATCAAACAAATCCACTAGTTACATCACCGAGTAAGATCGTCTTTACTCTTACAACGGGACCAAGGTACGGCAATTTATTTCTATCTGATCGTAAACTTGTGACGGCCGATATTTTCACACAGGAAGACATCGAGATCGGCAGACTGAGCTACCGTTTGTTCAGGCGAGCCTATTCCAATATCCTTGATGAAATAACGTTCAAAGTCAATGCACCTCAATGTATCGATATACACGCCAGCTTGAAGCTCCGATATTACTTCGGTAAGAATAGCAAATTGCTGGAAAGTGTGGAAAACTTAAAAGTTGACGAGGGCTCGAAAGTGCCTCTAAGAATCACGCATATAAATTTAAAAGAATACGGTATCTCGTCTCTGATATACAATCTTACAATAAAACCGAGTCACGGATGGCTCTCCATCGCGAATAGTTCAAAATTACAAGAGCAAAAAAACGTTTCGTCTTTTATGTTCGAGGACGTGTTGACGCAAGCGGTATATTACGTGCACGATGATTCCGAGACGAAGGAAGACTCGTTCGAATTTGTAGCGGTCTCCCTGGATTCCGTAGATTTTATGTACGTCGGAAAATTTCGAATCGAAATCATTATGAAAAACGATAATCCGCCGGAACGAACGATCAACAAAATCTTTCACGTCGTGTTGAAAGGTGAGAAACTTATAACAAACAAAGACCTTCTTTATACAGACAAGGATATTGATACTAGAGCGAGCGAGCTTATGTATAATACGAGGGATACTCGAAAAAGCGGAATATTCAAGGTGACTAATCCGTCGGTACAGATACGCGAATTCTCGCAGCAAGAGATCAACGACGGCGTAATACTTTTCCGACATCAAGGGGACGAACGCGAAAAAATCGAATTCGGCATCACTGACGGTCACTTTTACAGAACCGGCGCACTTGAAATTCAAGCCAGTCCACCTTACATCAAGTTGCGCGAGAGCAACGGCTCGGTCGTTCAATTTAACAAGTCCGCAGTGCTTCTATCGAAAGAACTAGAGATAGAAACAAACGTGTATACTACGGAGAAAGATGTCAAGTACATGGTGTGGGAAAAACCGAAGCATGGCAGACTGTTAAAGCACGATAGAGAATCAAGCAGCTTTACGGAGGACGATCTAAAACACGGTAGTGTGTCGTATAAACATCTGGGCGGATCCTTGACAAAAGACGTCTTTAAATACAAAGTGTACGTTAAAGGCGCGGAGGCCGAAGGTATGTTCCCTATCACAATCTACCCGGAGAGCTACTGGGAGTCGTTGATTGTCCAAAACAACAAGACAATATTTGTCGAGGAAGCTACGAGCGTTCTGCTGAATCGAAAGAGCCTCGAGATAATGCATCCTAAAATATCGCCGACCGAAATCGTCTACTTTGTGCGAGATTGGCCGCAGAACGGCTACCTAGATTTGCAGATTCATGACGAGCACAATGAGGAAGCCAAGGAGGAATACAGCGGAAACGCGGTGAAACATTTCGAGCAGAGTTTAATAAACGACGGTCGCGTCTTCTACGTTCAATCAGTAATGAATCAGACGAACGATCGTTTCGTCGTAGACGTTACCAATGGTATCACGTGGTTGCGCGGTCTCAGTGTCAATTTCGTGATAGTGCCGGAGAAGCTCTATATTGAGGCGAAAAACTTTGTCGTGGTGGAGGGAAAGAGTGCGATACTGGATGAATCGAACTTCTCAATCGTGACGCCGTACTACGCCGGCAAAGTGACAGATTACAGGATAATGGAAAAGCCGAGGCACGGCATGATTCTTGATTCCACGAAAAACACGCAGGTGAAGAAATTCTCGCAGAAGCACCTGAACGCCGAAGTCATACTATACAAGCACAACGGAGATGAATTTCCGAGGGATTCCTTCAGAATGGTTGTCATCGCTGGCGATAAGACCAGCGAGCCTTTCGACGTATCGATCACCGTTCAACCCGTTAATGACGAGATTCCTGTGCTGACGAATAGGACTAAATTAAACGTTTGGCAAGGTGGATCCGTGATTTTGACGCCGACGAATTTGGCGGCAGTGGACAATGACACTGCCCCGCACGATATAATATTCAATGTTACTGGAGTGAGAAACGGATACATTTCATTAATTACTTCGCCTGAAGCGGACGTATATAATTTTACGCAGAGTCAAATCAATGATTCACAAGTGATATTTACACATACGAGTGAGTATATTACAATATTCAAGAATTCATTTTCGAACAAACTATTATATTTTTTTTTAAATTATTAAACAAATTTTGAATAATAAATTTGCTTCATTAATTTCACATTGTGAAATATATAAATAATACATAATGATTCTAACTATATTTTTTCTATAGAATTATTTTAAAAAATTAAAGCATATTGATATTTTTTAATTAATAAAATTGTAAGCTCTTAACACACAAAACTTGATATTAAAAGACATTTAATGTTCTTTTAGACGGATCTGATGGCGAATTTAACTTTGTATTGAGCGACGGTGTACACACGACGGAATCTTACACGATCTTGGTCACTACAAAACCAGTTCATTTAAACATCGAGCACAATATGCCCCTTAATGTCTTCCCTCTTACTAAGAAATTTATATCAGACAAGCTCTTATTAACGACGTGTTCGGATGAAGCGAGGGAGATTAGATATACTGTACGAAACGGGCCGCATTTAGGCAAAGTTATAATGGAGACAAGTGAAGGAGTATGGCTCGAGGTCGAGCGATTTACTCAGAGAGATATAAACAATAGTAAAGTGATTTACGAGCACACCAAGCAGTTTATGGACCTGACGGCCAATGACTCTTTCACATTCGACGTTGAAACACACTTTGGTGGAACTTTAATGAATCAGGTATAGAATATAACTGAGCATTTAATATTTATCCTTAAACATATTATCTTCTACTAACGTTTAACTTATAACTTCCAAAAGGTAGCGTTTATGTTTCTTAGTGAATAAAGAAATTAAACATTTTTGGAATAAATTTTTAAAATAAATATTTCGAATTTCTTTATCTTAACTGTGTATTGCGCTGTAATATTATTTATTAATAAATACTTTACGTGTCGCAGATTTTCCAAATAGATATATCAGTTTCGAGCGGCGGTCTGCACGGGTATATTTCTCCGAGAAAAGTGAGAGTCGTGGAGGGTGGCTCCGCTCAGGTTGTCATGAATATCAGCGGCATCGTATCGTTTCTACAAACCAACGCTGGAATCGGGAACCCAGCCGTATTATCGAGATTAGTTCATCAGCCTAGTCATGGACACGTGATGCTTCTGCCGGATTTAAACGTGACTACCTTTACACAACCGCAAATCGAGGGCGGAAAAATCGCTTACTATCACGACCATTCGGATACCCTGGAAGATAACATTGAGTTCTCGCTATACTTGACACCCGGCCACGTGTTACTTTGCAACACCAGTATCCCCGTCGTCGTCGAACAAGTCAACGACGAGCCTTTCAAGCTCATCACCAACGCTCCGTACATCACGGTCGTTCAGAACCAAAATCAAACCATCACTCGCGAAAACCTTCTGACCACCGATCCCGACACTCCACCAGAAGAGATCACGTACGACGTAATTTCGGGACCGACGTACGGCAGATTACTGCTCTTGCCTTTCAACCAAAATACGTCGGAAGTGCGTCAAGTAAATAAATTTACTCAGGACGATGTGGACTCCAATCGAGTAGTGTACGAGCATAACGGACCGCTGCAAGCGGCTTCGTTTTACTTCAGAGTCTGGGACGGTCAATTTAATCCAGCCTACACCGTCTTTAATGTCCACGTTTTACCTATACGACTTAACGTGACTGTATCCGGCCCGGTGAATTTACAGCAAGGCTCGAACGTAGCGCTCATCTCCGAGAACGACGTTAAGCTGGACACGAACGCGCGTCAGGATTTAGTGATCTACGAAATTACGACGCATCCGAAGCATGGAGTATTATACGTGCGAGATGCCGCCGCGGCGACCTTCAAACAAACCGATCTACTGTCAAAGAGCGTGATGTTCATGCAGACGGATATGACGGTGTCGAACGATAGCCTAGAACTGTTGGCGCGATTGAGTGGCTTCGAGCAGAGACATATACGCGTCGATATCAAAGTAATTCCTCTCATGATTATGCATTCGATGACAGCATTAGCGAACGAGAAGACTCGGATAACCCTGCAATATTTAGACGCGACTCCCCTCGCGCAGTTAACGACCAGCAATCCTCTTTACACTATCCTGAGGAAACCAAAGTACGCAAAAATCAAGAGAATCATCAGAAGTTCCTCGTCGTCCGGTGAGAAGAGAGGCACGCGCGAACGAGATATCGGGCATTTCTCGCACCAGGAAGTTATCTCCGGGGTGATATATTTAGTGTGCAGAAAGATACCGTCGATCGACGGCGTCACCGATAGCTTCACCTTTAGACTCGCAGCTTCGATTTTCCAACCGGCTGTGAGTGATTTCGAATTTCGCGTCAAGCTCGACATAGACGACGATAACATCACCCTGGGCGGTCCGATGGATCCGGTCGGTCACGAGGGCGAGATGGCGATTGCACCGAACATGAGCAACGATTATCTGCTAATCCTCGGCATGCTGCTAGGTGTATTCCTCCTCGGTGTAGTCGTCATTATCACGATCAGATGCCGGCATAATAGGTATAAACACGCTGAAGAGGAAAAACCCGAAACTCCCGCTGTCGGCGTGATGCCACTTCCCAGACCTCCGGATCATTTGATGCCCGCCACCCCGCATTTGAAACCTTTCGGTAACGATCACAACAGCGTGACAGCCAGCACGCCTTTGCCGGTGTTGCCCTCAACGTTGCCTCAGTGCAAGGTGATACCCTTGAGTCCTCTGGAAAGCGGTTCGGAGGTCGACGTATCCGCGAGATATCCCTACGGCGTGGCGGACGGCGACGAGTGGAGTAGCTTCGACACTTCCGATCTACCTTGCCAGTCAGCTACAACTCAACGGACGAAGAAGAATCCGTTGCTGAGGAGGGATCAATACTGGGTCTAGCAGGAGAGAAACACGTTGCGGCTTACGCGAAGAAAGCCGTAGCGTCTCTCGACATCTTTCATACGAGAATTGAAACTATCGTGGATATCACGGACTTAATGTGCCTGAGAAAAGTGAAATCTGCGACGGAATTTATAAAAATCGTTCGTTCAAGCCCGACGGTTATCGTACCGGATGGATATGCAATGAATAGTGAAATGACGTTCGATATTATGACGAGAACATCTTTACCTGAATGTTTTTCGTGGAAACAAGAATCATGTCGTGCCTCGGCTTTTCTATTATTTTATAGACGGTAATTATCCGCGTTATCGGTGCGTCCGATTATAATTAAAAAAAAAAAAAAAACGAAAGAACTCCTTAACTAGAAAATTTATATATAGATTGAAAAAATGGTCAACAATTCATACGGATAACAATTGCAATCCGGGATAGTTCGCAGTGTCTCGTGTACTATTAGTTTAAAATGATACAGACAGGAAATCTAGATCTCCTTAAAATGTCACGACTATCGCCGCTATCACGAGCTCAATGTGCCTAAAAAATGTCGTCTGACTATACTGACATTTTTTCCACTAATCACATGTCGATTTTTTTCGTATATCCACTCCACAACCCTTCTCTCCAATAGCTCAACGAGTAAAGTCGATCGATCGCAAAGACAGATCGAGTATTCATTATACAAAACAAGATTTTTACAGAAAATTAAATTCCTAACTCTATACATAAAAGTCGGTTTACTGCCTCGTTTTAGAGTGCAGATTTTCAGAAAAACTCATATAATTGCTCTTACGTTTTTTACCTTCTTCCATTTTTACACGTTTTGTAAATGTAGAACAGTAAGATTATTATAAAAATTATCTATTTATCGATCCCTACTGTCATGTAAGTTCCAAATAAAAACGAAGCATTACTGTTTAAAACAAATGCGAAACTTTTGCTCTGTCTTAAACTACGAACAAAGGAAACGAAACCGATTAATCGGAATAATACAGGAACTTTATAACATTGTATCGTAAATCGATAAAATATATACAGTATAATCAAACTGTCATCTGTATGTTCCTGTTATTCGTTACTTTCCATCAAATTGTAAACAAATGCATTTATATTATCAGCTATACTCAAATTGGACATATCTTTTTATACATATTATCTAAGTTAAGTTTTCGTTTTCTCCAATACAAGTCTCATGCAATTATTTTATCTTATTCCAACTATTTTGATATCACTTCATACTCATATTGTGCAAATAAATACGAATAAATTGACAATTAGTATTTGTCAGGCAAAAAATTGAATCGCTGTAGTACTCATCATCAGCGCCGTTTCCGCAAATTATTTTTCCCAACGCTTTGTCGCGGCAAATTGTAACAACGATTATCTTTAATAGAGAATTATGTAGAATCGTCTACAAAACGCACAATACTCATTCGTTTTATTTCTATAGCGAGCGATAGATAATTACTAAGCGACGCCACATAACACGATTATTTGATGTATCTTAAATGCGTATTATCAGTAACGTTCGAAGTCTGTAAGTCGTTTTTTACACGAGTGCAAATACATAGATCTTTCCTATTAGAAATCTTTAATGAGGGCGAGTTTGTAATTCATAAGCGATGAACGGGGTTGTGTATGTGCAGTTTTAGTATTATCTGAGAGAAATTTGTTAAATACGAGCGTGTTAACGAGTTCGTTGATTTTAAAGAAAAATTTTACGTTACGTTACTCTTACGCGAACTCACGGTAACCTAATAAATCCACTTTCGGCCATTATCGATTAAATAGTCTGATACGATAATTCACATCAAATGTTCATTTAACTCATAATAATAATAAATATGTAAATATTAACAATCATGATTAAATAACGTCAATATAGTTGATAAATAAAAACATGATATTTACGTCGGTCAAACAATATAAATTAATTACAAATCGCGAATGGATAGTAAAATTTCAATTTTATATAAATTAATAGAATTCAATAATAATATTTTTTTTTTAAATGATTAGATTATATCATACAAAAGTAATACTCGAACTTATATTGTACTTCCCTATTTTGCTCATTGTTGATTTCTCAGGAAGCTTCCTATCTTAAAAAAAAAAGAGATGACAGGTTTTTTATTGGCATAGTCTAAATTACAATATTGGGCTATAAAACTATGATATTTTATCAAAAATAAAATTTTTTATATTTTTGCAGAAACTTAAATAAATGTCTGGCCGAAAGTGGATTAAACGGCAATTTCTCTAAAATTTTAGAAGCGTATTTAATAAAGCAGTTTAATGTGAATGTTGATTATAGTGATTATAATAATATATATACATACATTCATATATATATATATATATATTATAATGCGTACTTCTACATAGAACGTACTGTTCAATGAATTTATAGCATACGCATTAATAGATCCCAATTAAAGACATTTTATAAAAGAGAGAGAGAGAGAGAGAGAAAGAGACCCGTTCGTTGATTCATGAATATGCTATAGATGAACCGTTAGGCTTTTTTACATTCACTGAAAGTGAACTGATCCGAGTGCCAAACTTCTATAATCTATAATTATATGTAATTACCATAGGACTGTATTTTCCCTGCCGACTGAATGCATTACTCTTCTAATTCTAATAAATTGAATGTGCGATGTTAAGTAAACACGGTCTAATTTACTATTTATTGTGTTATAAAAATGACTTGCCTTCTATTAGTATATTATTAGCTACATTATTATGCATTACCACTTAATCATTTTTTATTTATATTACTAATACACTCTAAATAAATATATTTTTATATTTGTTTTATATATTTTTTGTATTTTAAAATAATTTTTGATTTTGCTGACATAATCATATTGCAAAAATCTGTTCAAAGATATGTATATTATATATACATATATTAATTATAAAAGAAACGTTTTATGCAGATTAAAATAAAAATAATTGAACTTACCAATTTCGATGCGCAGCAGCAAAGTTGTAGACACATCTGTAATATACAAATATTAAAAAAATTGTAGTAATATCCAAAATAATTTATATTACAAAAGTAATTATTTCGCGTATTAAATTTTTTATTTGTCCATAAAGTAAATCTTTAATATAACAAAATTACGAAAACAATTTAATTCTCAAATAGATATTTAAAATTATTTATAAATATTTATATTTATATTTATATTTATAAATATTAAAAATATTTAGTATTTTATGAATATTATATATTGTATTTTTTTATTAAGTACTTTAAATGTCTCATATGTATTTCATATGTATTGTGTATTACAATAATTAGGTTACAAAAATTGTAAAACTATTAAGTGATAATTATCCATAATACTTCTGAATTTATTATTCAAATTTGTTTTCTAAAAGTTGATTATTTAATTTTTGCCTTTTGTAAACGTAACATGATACAAAATAATATGCAACTGTCGGGGGTAAATAATTGTCACAAATAACAAATAAAAAGTATATAATATTACTATATATAATATAATATTAATTAAATATATATAGTAATAGTATATAATATAATGTTACTTACTCCACGATTCCTCTGCCGTTGCCCGATGCCTCCTAGGCCTCTTCCTTCTCCTCTTCTCGTTCGTAACACTTTTAACTTTATAGCACTTTTAACATTACACATATTCCCGACACATATCTCAAATTTTATCGTAACTCGATAATTGCGCGACATTTTACACGACACTCCCGACACGCATACTTTATCACTACTATACAATCGCGCGACATTTTATACGGCACTTCCGATATTAATCGCATTCTCGACGCGCGTTTTACTGTAACGACAAACAATGTAAAAAAAAACATGGACGCTTGTAGCTGTGTTCGACACTCGTCTCCTAATGATGATAGAAAGAACTGAAAATCGCGCGGCTAACTTCACCGATAAGTTACCCCCTCAGACATAATTATTGCTTTTAACTATGTTTTTCTATACTTTTACATCGAAAATTTACATAAGAAATATGATATTTACATTTTAGACCGTTTTATTATTTCGTATTATGAAATAGATACATAAATATACGGATCAAAATTAGGAAAAACATCCGCGGAATGTAACATTTGGAAATATCATTTTTTTCACGCGTCGGTTTGCTAGCTACCGCTACCGACTGCGACTGCGTACACAGTTATATCAGATTCGTGTCATTATATGTTTGATAAGCATCGAGATACGAAATTAATTACGATTATACTTACTAATTAAACGCATCGCAAAACTATTCGATTAGGAGAGAGTCTGTCTTACACCCGCCACCTTAGTGTAATGGCCAACAAATTCGTAAACGGCGGTGACAACTTCAATCAGCTACGTGTTGCCTTGACTACTAAAGTCAAATCACATATTACAATAACTAATAAATAAGTTACTCTTTAAAAATCAACATACACTTGACATTTTGCAAGATATAAACTTCCATTAGGTATAAACTTTTAAAAAACATGTATTATTTTAATATATAATAATATATTTCTTTGCTTTGCGCTACTTGAATGATTGTGATTCACGTATTATTAATGCGCATTTCCAATAACCAAATGGGATATTTTCAATTCGCAATTGGACAAATGCATCTAATTGGCTAGAAATTGGCGAAATATTTACGCATCTATACATCAATCGTTTATGATGTAGATGAGTTAGCGCGAAAGTGATATATGTAGGCAAGTTAATTCCTCAACATGGCTTCGTGCATGCGGTGAGTTTGATTATTTCCGGTTTTTTCCCTTTAAGTAACTGAGATAAGGATTAATCATGGACATATGGATATATATGAAAAATTGTCTATTTATGTCACTTTCAGCGAGCATAGCAATTTTGCTCATTTTCTTAGTTCAATTTTGTAGATTTTGATTGTCTGTCATACAGTGCGTTTGATACGGCTGACGTGTCCTTACAATGTTATTTACAATTAAAGTACATTTTTTGTAATGAATTCATTGCATTCTTGATCATTAATCTAATCTAATCTATCGCTGAATGAATATGATACCGCTTATCATAAACTATGATGGAATTTTACAGTCTCAGAAATGAACATTACCTCAGTGTAATTTTCTGTACGACAGTATTTCCTTACAAACTGTTATCTAGTTAAAACTATAATATAATGCTTACTAAGTATCATTCATACATGTTGTAATAATCTGTAATTTCTATAGAATATTATATGTCAGCAGATATTTTTATTTTCTTATTATAAAATCTTTTCAGGTTGGTTCTATTTTTAGTATTATTATGTTCTCCATTTCTTGTGGATGCAGTCAACAGAGACAATTTCAAAAGATGTGATCAAAGCAGCTTCTGCCGGTAAGAAATAATCATTTTTATAAGCATTGTTACTTGAGAAACAAGTTTAATTTTTGTTTTATCTTTTTTAGACGATGCAGAAAAGTAGAGTCTGGAAAAACACCATATCAGCTTTTGCCAGACACACTTGTACAAAATGAATCTATGATTAATATAGATTTATTTAATAAAGATACAGGCATCTTGTACATAGTACAGTTTACTGCATTGAAGGAAGATACGTTTAGATTAAATATCAATGAAAAGAATCCATTACATACCAGATACCAAAATGAATATGCTCTTCATGATCAACCACAGACAGTGGAATTGGATACTGTGGAAAAAACTACTGAAAGTATAACTATAGTGAAAGGTGGAAATAAAGCCATTTTATACATTAATCCATTTAAGGTAGATTTATACTCCCATGATGTTTTAACAATATCAGCAAATGCTCGTGGTCTTATGAGATTTGAACATTTACGTACCAAACCAGTAAGGTATATATTGTTAGCCAATTATCATTGCTCTAAGTCTATAAAATAATGTAATATAAATTATACATTATTTTATATATAGACCAGAACAAGGTGAAAATGAAAATGTTGAAGCTGCAGCAACAAATAATACCGCATATCCTGGTGATGGAGCTGATAATGATCCAGGTGCTTGGGAAGAAAACTTCAAGGAACATCACGATGCAAAACCATTTGGACCAGAAGCTGTTGCGATGGATTTTAGTTTTCCTGGATCTGAACATGCTTATGGTATACCAGAACATGCTGATTCATTCGCATTACAATCGACTAAATCTACAGATCCATATAGATTATACAATCTTGATGTCTTTGAATACGAAACGAATGAACGTATGGCTTTGTATGGTGCCATTCCAGTTCTTTATGCTCATGGGTAAGCTTGCAAATCAACTAATTCTGTGATTTATAAAGATATATTCATGCAAAATTTGTGTAATATTTCAGAAAAGAGAGATCGTCAGGTGTTTTTTGGCATAATACAGCAGAAACTTGGATTGACATTCTATCAAGTGCAGATAATAATGTTGTAGAAAGCATTGTTAATTTTGTATCTGGATCTACTAAAAAATCTCAAGTGGATGCTCATTTTATGTCAGAATCTGGCGTGATTGATATATTTTTCATGTTGGGTCCGAAACCTCTTGATGTTTTTAAACAATTCACCATTTTAACTGGTACAGCTCCTTTGCCACAGGTATGTTAAATAAATATTGTAAAAATTGAATTTGTTTTAAGTTACGAAGTATCGAGCAATCAGAACTGCTGTTCTCAAAATATGTGTTTTAGATGTTTGCTCTTGGGTATCATCAAAGTCGTTGGAATTATAATGATCAAGATGATGTTACAACAATTGCCGAAAATTTTGATATACATGATATACCACTGGAAGTTATGTGGCTTGATATTGAATATACCGATAATAAGAAATACTTTACATGGGATCAGCGTAAATTCCCGAATCCTCTTGAAATGATACACAATCTTACTACCAAAGGCAGAAAATTGATAGTTATCATTGATCCTCATATTAAACGAGATAACAACTATTTCTTACATAATGATGCTACCAATTTGGGCTATTACATCAAAAACAGAGATGGAAAAGATTATGAGGGTTGGTGCTGGCCAGGATCTTCATCATATTTGGACTTCTTCGATCCAAAAGTCATTGAATATTATGTTGGTTTATACAGTTTGGATAAATTTCATGGTACCACTAACGATGTTTACATTTGGAACGATATGAATGAACCAAGTGTGTTTAATGGACCTGAAGTAACTGCGCCAAAGGATCTTGTTCATTATGGAGGTTGGGAACATAGAGATGTGCACAATATTAATGGACATATGTATATTCGCGCGACATACGATGCTTTATTCCGTCGATCAGGTGGTTCTTTGAGACCATTTGTCTTAACAAGATCCTTCTATGCTGGATCACAACGTTACGCGGCAATGTGGACTGGCGATAATATGGCTGACTGGAATCACTTGCGTATAAGTTATCCTATGTGTCTTTCGATGGCTGTATCTGGAATGTCATTTTGTGGCGCAGATGTTGCAGGTTTTTTCAAGAATCCAGATGTTGAGATGTTTATTAGATGGTATCAAGCTGCAGTATGGTTACCTTTCATCCGTCAACATTCTCACATAGAAACAAAGAGACGCGAACCATGGACATTTAATGAGGAAACTACGCAAATAGTTCGTGAAGCACTCAGATTACGATACTCATACCTGCCATTGTGGTACACGCTTTTTAGAGAACACGAAGTAAACGGTTTACCTGTCATACGACCTTTATGGGCGCATTATCCATCCGAATCGAAAACATTTACTATCGACGATCAGTTGCTACTTGGTGACTCTATACTCGTACGCCCGGTATTTCAATCCGGTGCCACAGAAGTAACGCTTTATCTTCCGGGAGACGATAAAGTGACTTGGTACGATACTGATACATTGCAATCTTATAAAAAAACAGGATACATTAATGTACCAGTAACGATTCACAAGATCCCTGTGTGTCAAAGAAGTGGTTCCATCGTTCCACGAAAAATGAGAATACGACGTAGCACGGTTGCTATGAAAAATGATCCTTACACATTAATAGTAATTGCTGATAATAACGGTAAGGCTAGCGGCAGTCTATATATCGATGATGAAACCAGCTTTGAATACCGTCATGGGAAATACTTGTATCTGAGATTAATCCTGGATGGTAATAAAATAACTTCAACTCTGATAGATAAATTAGCTTCATATGAAACACAAAGCTGGTTAGAAAGAATAGATATAGCCAATCCACCACAAGGAATTAAATCTGCCCAACTGGAATCGCACAGTAAGTAATCAAATTAAAGTGTCGTGTAACAAATCCTTTAATAAATCTGTTTCAATTAATAATTTATATAATTTTTTACAGGTATGGGAAAAATAACTTTGGAAACTACGTATAATTCACATAATAACGTATTAACGATACGTAAACCAGCTGTAAATATGGGCGAAGAATGGACAATTGAATTATTACATTAGGATTATGATGTTACTCATATTCGATCTTTAATAATCCATGCTCTATGATGCTAATTTTCCATTACTGTACATGGTTCAGCTATCTGTGATCTGCATGATTACATTTCCTAGAACAAGTATAGAAATACAACTTAGCTACTTTGAGAGCTAAAGTAATTATTATCTCCTTTTAATAAGAATTAATATTTACTTGCAATATGTACAATATATGTACACTCAAGTAGGATATTTGGGAAGATATTTATATAGAGGCATTCTTTTGTGTAACTTACATTTTTACTTTATACGATTTAATAAAATTTCAAAAGTACAAAGTGTGTTTCGGGCTATTATAATACGTAAAAGTTTAATATTATATAAAGAATATTTAATGTTTGATTTAGAAATGTATTATTGGCCATAAAGCACATATGACAAAACCTAAAGTCTTTTTATTAAAAATGAACATATTTGATCATTTAATTAAATGATCAAATTATCAAATATAGGATTTAAATGAATCACTTCGTAATAAAATAAGTCTGATAATTTCAATAAAAAATTTTATTTTGTTATATGCGTTCTGTTGGTGCGTGTTTATGAACTAAATACAAAAACACTATTGATGATAACGCCGATACTAAGAAAATGACATCAAACCATCTATGATAAAAATTAAACTGTAATTCTCCTAATACTTGCGTTATTATAATACGGTATTCTGCTGGCATATTCATTCGCATAAGAAGTACAGAAGATACAAAATACATTCCCTAAAAAATGAAAGTAACAATATAAAATTAAAAATGTGAATACTTTATAAAAATCATATGTGATTTGTAATTTTAAACAATTATTACTCTTACCATTATTTGAGCAAGTATAAGTACAATAATATTTGATGATTTGCTGCTTGATATAGCATAAAAAAACTGAAACAGAAAAGTCTGTAGTAAACATTTTTGTTAAGACTGATAATAATACGATAAAAATATCAAGACTCTCTGATTCACTCATATATGTACGTTTACTCACACAATATAATGCAAAATATCATATAAAATGATCAGTACATATATGTGTTGTGTGTGTATGTGTGCATGCACACAATACAATCATTTTATAGAAATGAAAAAAAATGGATAAGCAAACATAGAATTACTATGTTGTGTCTTACGTACCTTTGTTAGAGTTAACAATAACCCACGTATAGACGTTACAACAATGCAACCGACGAGATAAAAAGAAATATGCTGCGACCAAAATGTGACATCAATATTGAAACCAATCCAATGTACTGCAATTTCGATTCCTCTGGTCACAGGGTCTTTTTTGCCGACTCGATCAAACACTATGTTGATTGTAGACTGTAAACATGGTGTAAAAATCGTAGAATATCCGACAAAATTTACTTAAATAATTATAAAGTGATCAAAACTACAGATTCACAATACTACAGACTTACAATAAATATTTTCCAAGTACAATATAAAGAGAAAAAATAACCAAGGAAATTAAAATATTTTCCTTGCCAAGTGGCAGCCCATTCCAAACGCTCTCTCGCATTTTGTATATCATGTGCTTCCAAAAATAATTGTCGTGATAACTCTTCTAAAGCGGTAACTTCGACTTGCAATTGCTTGATAACTATAAAATAATATATATCATCATTAGCTATCATTAAGATGGCCAGTATTTGTAGTTATAGTATAAAATTAAAAGGAATATGTACTTTCTTGGTTTCCCTTGGTACCACCTAGTGGACCTAACATTCCCCATAATCGAGATCGAGTTTCTATTTGTCCAACAGTTTCACCTTTTTTCGCTAATGCAATTCTTTTCTTTTTCGCAATAATCATGTCCATAGTTTGCAGCAATCGTTTTTCTATCGATTGCACATCAGCGTAAGAAACTGGTCGCATAAAGTAAGCCATTGAAGTATATGGATAATTTACAGCACCAAAACCTGAGAGAAGTGCCATTACTGTGACGCCGATAACTCCTATTCGACTGACGCCTTGTTCTATAGATAATAATCCTTTTTTAGGACTTAGTATGGGAAAAGGATCACCCACTTTCCAGAAGAGATACAGATAAAAAAGATATATGACAACTGTCAATGGCTGTATTAGATTCAGTCTTACTGCACAGATAAAAGAAAATTTATTAAGGTTTAATAGAATAAAAATCAATATAATAGCAATAAAGAAATATGTCAATAAAGAGTTATACATACCAAATCTGATATTGCTGATGATAAAATATGCTATGTAAAATGGTATCAGAACTATTACCATAAATAGAAGCATATAAAGACCAGCATTCCAATGGAAATATCTAGAACTAAAAAACAATATATTAAACCTTAAATAATACTGTGCAATTTTTTTGTCTTACCTTGAGTCAAGCACTCCTGCTATTTCAAAAATAATTAATTCAAACATGGTGCATGACAGTGAAAATGTTGTAGAGAAAATTAGTTGTACTAATCTATGATGCACTTCATAATCCCTGAACAATTTCTTCACAAAAAATACCCATCCTCCTAAGAAGAAAATTATCTGAAAAATATGGGGAAAAAATAAAACAACAGAAATAATATTTATTATACAAAACAGATTCTATCCATATAAAATAAGTTTACTCCAAAATTCAATAAAATACATTATTTTAAGATTTTAAGATTTTATTAAATAAACTGCAGGATTTTACAATGTAAAATTTATTATAGCATTTTCGAATACACATAATTCATAATTGTTATAAATAGTTGTCATAAATATCAGATGTGCAAAAAAATCCATAGATGTGAACAATCACTGCCAAAAAAGATTTAACAAGGTTTCCTTATATTTTAGAATATAAGAATTTAACAAAATTTCCTTATATTTTAAGATATAAATAAAAATTGTTCAGCAACAAGTTTTACATTAAACTTTACATTAAGCACAGTTAATGATAAAAATAAATCATTTTTCACATTATTCTCATATATGTTTTGAATAGTATAATCTATAACCTAAATTAATCGAGGAATAATCGATAAAACTGGATTTTTGTAGTGGAAAAACAATTTTCCACCTGTGTTATTAAAATCACGAAAGTGTCTTCGATGAAACCCATTTTCGGCTGTTATAATTTTCACTTCGCATTGCGAAGTTTTAATCGGTGAAATTTGACAGATAACGCTGGCAATTCCGGTACATACACACATTGAACTGCTCTACACATACTGAAATGAGTTAGTGTGTCACATGCAATGTGGCTAGATTTAAACGCAAGAAACAAGTAGCATGAATGGAGAGGTACTGCACACATACACGAGCCACCTAAGTAAACATGCGAGACAGAATAAGCATCACCTCTTAGATTCTTTCCCTCTCGGCTCGGAGTCATTTTTAGCCAAGACTCAAACCATTTTAGCTGAGACTCGAACCATTTTTAGTCAAGACTCCAAAAATCATTTGGTATGAGTCTCGCACGTGCTTGCACGTGTATAATTAGGTGGCTTGCGCACGTGTGCGGTACTTTCTCCATTCATGCTGCTTGCTTCTTATGTCTTAAATCTGCCCACACTAGTCTTAGGCATGCATATGCATATGACAGCATAAAGACCTTTTTACACAACCGCTAAATGCTAATACACAAAAAAGTTGACCAATCACCTACCTATATTAAAAATGTAAAAGAATAACATACTTTGTTTTTTCATAATTGGTTTATTTATATCTGTGTTTATAATGAGACTTTGTAATTTTGTCTGTATAAACCTTAATGATTATTACCTACATATGCATTTTTTATCTCCACTTTTTGTATTTTTAATCAATACTCCCCTACCTTTTTTTGTAAAATTAATCATATATTTAATTTTGAGTTTAAATAGCACAGACAATGTGCAAGATAGCATAGATAAAAGAAAAAAATTTTTATCTACTACATATAATTTACGAAAAAGTATACTGTTGATTTATTTTCTATTGTAAATTGATTTATATATTTACAGAACAAATGATAACAATTGTCTAAATATCAACAATATTACAATTATATTAATATAACAGAAATATTACAATCGTCACATCCAATAATGTATAATTATATTGTTACAGCTGATAAATATCTCAATAGATTTTCCTGAAAATTTGTACAAGTTTTAAAATGCGAAAAGAAGAAGATATGTAGTAAGAAAAAGAGAGAAACTGTACATACACATACACATCACACACAATTCTGTTATGACAGCAAATATGATATATGCTGTAGTATTTGTTATCAGGACAATGATTTACAGAACTATGTTATCTACAACTTGAGCATTTTCTTCGCTTAGTAATCGGGTACTCTACGGATTGTGCGTGGCATGATATTATTGTATCTCCTCTCTGTGTCGCATTTCCTTTTAAGATTTGGCATTAAGTGCAAAGATTGGTGTTGCAATGTGACTTATAAGTGTGAGTTGCTTGTGAAATTAATTAAGAATTAATTAAAAATTTCCACCCATACGGAAGTCAAATTTTATTTTTTTTTTCTTTTAAACAAAGGACTTGTGGTTATATATATATATATATATATATATATATATATATATATATATACTATCTTGCTTTGTCTATGATCTTCAATTATTACTATAAATAGGAAAATATATTATTCTCTTATTTTGTATGTTCTTATTGCATAATGTATTTTATTATTACAAAGTAGACATGAAAATTAAATTGTTACATAACAATGCAGGCACACATAGAAAAATACATTATTTTATTTGAAGTATCGTACAATTTTCTTATAATAGATTTTGTATTATCTAAAATTTTCATCTTAATACTATGTACTTATATTCTAATGTCTTGCTTAAAACTTATATGAACTATATTAAAGAATTATAAAGCAAATCGCCCAATGTAATTTGAATGTCAGAATTATATTTATACAGAAGGGAAATAGAAATATAGAATAGGAAATAGAATAGAGATTTGTATGTGACAAGAATATATAATAGAGAATATAGTTTAGCATAACTCATATATATATATATATATATATATATATACTAAAACAAGAAACTATAATGTACAGGACTGATGAATCTAGGATCAGTAACCAGTTGGAAATATAGAAAAGGAACGAAAAATGCCAGGTACTTTGACATATCCAATTTATGCTGGTGTGGTGCAACCTACTCGTAGAAGACGTGCTTACACCTGGAATACACAACATAGGTCTGAATCACGTGTGGCAGAAGTCAATGCACAACTTGGTCGAATATCTTTATCGGATCCTGTGGTAAGATATTAATAGTTATCCAGGAAGAAATACAGGTCGAAGAAACATCTAATAGACGTTTCTTTGACCTGTATTTCTCCCTGGGTACAAGACCATGATTTCATGGATTTTCATTTGCTATGTGTAATGCTAGTTGTGACAATTTTAATGTCATCATAACTCAAGATAGCAAATTTTTGCACAGTACCATGACTCGAGATATCAAGTTACAGACGTGATTCTTGGGATATTACGATAAAATTCATTTTTTAAATAATTCTTTTACTTTGTATCAGCAGACATAAACATCATTTCTGGATCTTAATTTATTCAATGTATCTTAACTCATTCAACGTATCTGTATATTGTAAACTACATATTCAATTCGAATAAAATACAACAAATTAATATAGTGAGAATTTATAATACAATATATAATGTAAGTATATAAAAATTTGCTTGGACAATTTAATTATGCAGTTCAAAGAATTTGTCTTTTCCATCTGTACATTTTTGAAAAAATTTTCCAAATTTTCATATTTTTCACTCCTTTATTAATAAAAATACTTGATTGGAAAAAAAGATTACAGTAGACTTAAGATAAATTAATAATAATTTTTATGACATTTTTGTGTATGTGGATTACTTTTTTCATCACGAGATCACAGAATAAATTAATATAGTCAGTCAACTCGTCACTTTTTAAATATTTAGGCTACGTTTCAATATTCTCTGCCAGTACTGACAATTCGTAGGTCACGCTATAGGTTTTCAGCACTGTCAGTGCATTTTGGAATACAGCCTTTAAAGGAAGTTAGCCATCTTTGAACCCGGAAGCGGGCATGTCACATCCGTCTCGATCGTGCAATAGTGACGTAGAGGGGTTAACACAAAATAGGTTCCTTGATGGCACATAAGAAACTGTGAGGCCCATTAAATTGTAGAAAGGAGCAGTCGGCGATTCGGTATCAATTGAGCACACGTAACGTTAATGGCAGAGGAACATGTTTACGGTTATAATCCGACGGTCGGAGTCAATGACGATGCCGTACGTAATACTCTACTTTGACAGTTTGACAAGTATAGGTTGGGTTCGTAACGACTGATAAAGGCGCATCGACGCACGGGTGTTGCTTTCGAACAACGATTATTTATCTCCGCAGTATTTTTCGGATTTGCCATTGTGGTGTACGTCGTGCATTTTCACTAACGACGTGTGACGTGGTGACGATAAAAACAATTCGTCCGCACTCATCAGAAAAAACAGCCATCAATATCAATTTTATGTTACACTTATTTGCAATGGAGTAGTATTTTAGCTACGTTACTTACACGTGTTTTCTAACCAGCTAATCTAGAATGGTTTCAATATTTTTTACTCATTATTTTAATATTCGTTATTGCTATACGGAATAATTTTGCAACTGTTTTGATATAATTGTCAGAAGACATATCTTGTGTAATATAGTGCAACATTCTAGGAATTCGTCTGCCATTACGATAATACCTTGTTTGAGACATTGTCTGATAATTTATCTATAGCGTTGTGCAATTGACTAGTATTTTTAAGAGAAGAAATTATTGCAAACTTAAACTTTGACATATTATATTACATTCTTAAAATTATATTGTAAATTATTTGATACCTCTTTGTTTACTGTATTTGTGGTATTCATGTTATATTAATAATAGAATACAATTTTAGTGTTTAATAATGTCATATAATTATTTTTTTATTTAGAGAGATGATACGAGCAAGATAAGATTAAAAGTAATCGCTGGGCATCATTTAGCTAAAAAAGATATTTTTGGTGCGAGTGATCCTTATGTACGCGTGGACTTGAATACAATAAATGGCGATCAAACTGTGGATTCTGCACTTACAAGAACTAAGAAGAAGACATTAAATCCTGTCTGGGAAGAAGAATTTATATTTAGGGTAAGTGTGAAATATATGTGTGTATGCATAAAAAATTTAACATATTTGTTTTGAAATTTTTTTCATATTATTTCCAATATGCATATTTTGTATATTATTAAGATGACTTTTTTTTCTCTAGGTGAAACCAGTGGAACACAAATTGGTTTTACAAGTTTTTGATGAAAATAGATTAACAAGGGACGATTTTCTTGGTATGGTGGAATTGACATTGATTAATTTACCAAAGGAGCAAGAAGGCCGTGTTATTCCTGCTAGGAATTATGTACTTCGTCCCCGTAGGTAAGTATTTTCGACAACTTTGCTTTCAGCTACATATTCTAACACTTAATTTACATCTGCATCTAATTTACTACATTATTTATATCTATGCGCAGTATGAGTATATGAGTTTATAATGGTATAACCAATTAGCACAAGTGATAAATATCACATTTCATTAATTACTTTTAATCATTTTAATTTAACTTTTTAACAAGTTGCATTTATTTAACTACATAATTAAATTTATCCAGTATATTAATATTTCTTGAAATTTGTTTGCTTTGTACTTTTAATTTGCGAATGCAAAATAAATAACTTATGAGGATATGGCTAGTAATCATTCCAGTCAGCGATCGCGAGTTAAAGGAACGTTGGAATTGTATCATGCATACATTTCCGACTCATCTAATATTGAAAATGACAATGGAGACGTATCTGATTCGGGTGGGTGGGAATTAGTGCAACCAGAGAATAACAGTCCAGTGGAACAAGCTGCAGAGGTATGTAATAGATTGTGCCAAAGTTGCCCTGTTAATTGATAACGCAATATTTTTCTTGCGTCTTTATAAAATAAGAATAATAAAATTTTTTTATGTGATTATTAGTTACTAAATTATTTAATATACTTTTGTAGATTACAATGGTTAATAGGCCATTACCGCCAGGATGGGAGGAAAGGCTAGATGCAAATGGTCGTACATACTATGTTAATCATATAGCACGTTTCACACAATGGGAACGACCAGAACCGTATGTATTTATACGACAGTATATAGTAAACAATAAATTGTATTGTCATATTTAAACAACAGTAAATAGTATTTATACGATATCGTTTGACTTTTGTAATATCGTGTGTAATTAACTATTTTAAAATGTTGTTTTATTGTAACAGAGATACAGCAGCGACAACAGTAGTTGAACAACGTAATTTGGATACGGCAGCAACTGAATTTCAACGACGGTTTCATATCAGTGCTGATGACGAAGGCAGACATAGGAATTCAGTAGTAAATCAGGTAAGTTTTAATCTGTATGATAACCTTGAGCTGTTATTTCTACACAACATAAACTCTTAACATATATTTAAAAAAATTTTTTTACAATGAAGTAATTAAATCTTTAAAATACGTGTGCAGAAGAACATTAATTTTCATTTTGAACAAAATAGTTTAAATAAACAAAACAAAAAGACTATTAACGATATTGCTCCATTAAGTTGATATTACATATACTTATTTATATTTTAAAATACTTTCGAGTTTATTAGGTTGGTTGCAAATTAAAGTAAAAATATATCTTTTATATATA